AAATCGCATCGTCGATTGACGCGAGTTATATCGAACGTACCCAATTTCTTTCCGCGGGAGAATAAAATTAATTAAAAATCGTTGGAAATTTTTCGATAGAAAAGAAAATGTGGAATATCGGCCAGTCGTCCTCATCGACGCGGGCGCGGATTCCGGATTCGAATTTCGTGGACAAAAATGTCCGTTCCAGTTAATTTTCCGCGCGCCGTGAATCACGACGGTTGAACCTTCGGCATCGTCGATTGACGCAAGTTACATCGAACGTACCCAATTTTTTTCCGCGGAAGAATAAAATTAATTAACAATCGTAGGAAATTTTTCGATATAAAAAAAAATATGGAATATTGGCCTCATCGACGCGGTCGCGGATTCCGGATTCGTGGACAAAAATGTCCGTTCCAGTTAATTTTCCGCGCGCCGTGAATCACGACGGTTGAACCCTCCGGACAGATGTAGTTGGTCGGTCGCCACGGTTTATTTTGAGTTCCTCCTTTTCGGCCGCGAGATCCGCAGCTGGCACTTTCGGCGGAGCTGCGAAATCACGACATAACGTTCTCTCCGGGCCAATTAGTCATCGCACGTCCAATTATGTTTACAAGGGACTTCCGCGAACAAGGTCGCCGCGGCGTCGCCCGATTCGTCTAGCCACCGAGGCAAGAGAGGCTACAAAGCCGCGAGTGACACAGGGAGGGTCCGGGTCCAGTCGCGAGAATGAACGATATCGTCGTTAACATCGAGCACCGCTAAGTGACAATGCAAATGGCGGGGCATTAGGATGCTATTCTCGAGCGAAACTTAAGACCCGAATAATGCCCGCAAATAAATCCCTCCGCGCCGGAATGCCTCCATTGAGACGCGAAACCTCCTCGACTAGATTTCTTTGCGTCGCGTCTCCGTCAAGAGTTACGAAGACGACTATTACGCGGCGTCCGACAGCCGGCGCGTAATCTTTTTGCGGAAGATGTAACGATCCCGAGGAAAAGCGGGGAAAGCTCTCTCCCGGCACCCGCGATCGTTATTTCGCGATATAATTTCTATTTCTGCAGTTGAATGGGTCCGAGTTATTCCCGGCGACATCGAGTACGGGGCTCCCGCGTATAATCGAGAGTTACGAAATCGACTCGTACCGATAATTCGGAGAGTTCCTCGTTGCCCCTCCGCTCACTTGGGAGAGGATATAAAATCGTTACACGGAGAAAAAAGGATGCGAACTTAAGAAAAAATCTGCAAAATGCCCAGATTTCATCCATTGAAACAAGGGCGGGAAATTATTTCCATTATCTTTACGATAAATTAATGGGACGATAAATACGATAAATTAATGGGTTAATCAAATTAATGGGACGGTTTTCAACCGCATCGTGAACAATTTCCAACGGAAGGGCTTCTGGAACTTTAAAGCTTTTATTTATCTCCGGGTGTATCTGTTCACCGGAACTTCCTCCTATGCCTTCTTATCGAATACATTGATATATCTGACCACAAAGACATCGAGTTTAGGCGTTTCCGGGTGCGGGTCCTGGAGGATCCCTCGGTCGATTCCGTTTCCCCGCGCCTCCCAAGGTCGCCCGGCATCCTCTCTCTCTCTGCCGGCGGTCCGCGTCGGTCCGCGTCATTCCGCGTCGACCGTGGAAAGCAGGAAGCGCGCCGCGAGCCTCCCGACTCCGCCGCGTGCGTCGCCCCGCGGCCTAGTGTGACGTCACGTGGGCTCCGACCAATGGGCGCGCGGCTCGGTGACTCACCGGCCGGAGTCCCATTCGTAAACTCTCTCGCGGCGGCTGACCGCCAGTCTCAGCCAGTCCGTCGCGCGGAGAGGTTCGCCACGAGACGGTCTTCGCTCTCAACTTACGCGCCTGCCCTGACTGGAGTAAACAATCGTTCGCATCGCCTGGGATCGATCGATCGAGCTATCGATATCTCGCTTTCCTCTCGGAGATCGAGGAATCGCGGCTCGTCGTAACATGAGCGATTCCTCTCGGAGGTAGAAAGTACCCCGACATAGAGATTGCGCTCCTCGAGGTGGGAAAGTGTGTCGAATGGTGAGGTGAAGGTGCGGAGAAGCGTGCCCTGCCGACAGGAGGAACTCGTTCCGGTTCGGTGCCACGTGCCGCGGAGATGAGGATCAAGAAGGAGGCGCCCTGCCTGGTCCTCAGACTGGTGCCCATAGAGGACCTCGAGCCCTGGAGTAGGTTTCGCGTTTAAATTCGTATATTTTCATTTTTTTTTACTCGTAACGCGTTCCCCGCGATCGACCCAGGTGGTCTCCAGCGTGCTTTTATACATAATATTTTATACATTATAAAGGCGTTTATACGTCTCCTGCGGGGAGTTTGCTCGATTTACGAGATATCGCGGGGGATTCCGATCGACCTTCCCCGATAGGCCGGCTCGATGACTAACGGCGCCCCGTTCGAGACGTCTAATCGTACGCGACTTGACGGATGCGACTTGGCGCGCTGCGTATAATCTCTCGGCGCGGTGACTCACCGTGCTCGCCATATAGCCGGTCCCCGCGTCGCCGCAAGCTCGATGCATCGTTACGTGCCCCCGATGAGTCGGTCAACGTAAATCTCGCGAGTGGTCTCCCGCTACCGAACGAGATCCCCCGTGGATCCTCCGGACGGTGGGCGAAGTCGAAGGAACCAAAGAGATAGCTCTTCGAACGGTCCCAAAGAAATACCCCGCTCTCTCAGTTAACGCGGCAAATTGTAACACAATTTCCGCGGAAAATATATTTTCCTGAAAGTTTTAATTAATATTGTTGCGAGGCCCGGAAGCGCGCAGCGTTTCGAGGGTTAAACAACCTCGAATATGTACCGCGGAATTTATTCCCTATATTTTTTTTTTCTTTTGCGCCGACGGACTTTATTTGCGGGATTTTCAGTCGCGAAAAATCAACGTGGAACGGATACTCTGAGTATTTACTTAATTGGGGGACGGGAGTAATTCGTTAAACCGAAAAATGATTAATTTTAATGTTCCTCCCTTAATATCAAATGCATCGCAACGTTTCTTCGGAACGACGACGATTTGAGTTCGCTTCGGTCAATTTTTTTTTTAATCAACGAAATATTTCTTTGGATCGATGACTTTCTTCTCGGCGGGGAAATAATATTTCTAATTGGATCGACGTTTTTAATCGTGCGCCTGCGCGGTAGCGGCGCGTCGCGTCGCTCGATCGTCGACACGAGTTATGTTAGTATTCGCGGCTTATCGGAGGTATCGCCGATCGCCGGTACAAGGGCAGTATCGATTCCATCGATCCATCGATCACGGAGTTAAATGAACGTCCCGTTGGGCGAGTTACTCCCCCGGGGAGAGAAACGAGCTCTACTTTGAAATTCCACCTCGAGATGCTCCGGCGGATGCACGTTGCCGCGCGTGTGACGTCACCGCGGTGCGTCGCGGTGGCCCAACGTACGCGCCGTCTTCTCGCGGTGAAATCTCGAAAGTTTCGACGATCGACGAGTCCCCCGGTGACTCAGGAGGGAGGCGAGGCGGCGCGGCGCCGACTTCGGAGTGTATTTGTTTACTATCCGTCCCAAGCCGTGAATCTCGGTTGCCGTCTTTGTTCGGTCCCGAGATCGCGACAAAAAGCGACGGGGGACCGAAACGCGTTAAGGTATTACGAGAGTGTCGTGTATGTATATAAAAATTTAAAATTTAATTTTCCGGGATTTCAAGACNATATATAGAACGACATTTTCGTATCACCTTAAAGCTAGACTCCGGGCGACGTCCAGGAGGCGCGCGAGTCTACCGTCCTCTATACTCTATATCCCATGCTAATGGACGCGCGCCCGCATTCGACGTACCGGGCCACGTGACCCGCGAGCGCTCACGCACACTACAAGAGGCGGCGCTTCGCGGCCGTCCGCTCAGAGACCTCCCGGCGCTCCACACGCGAGGCTCGGAGCTCGCGCGCGGTCCCGGCAGTGGAATCGGCCGCGACAGTTACGGGTCGAGGGGTGGAGTGGGGGGGGGGGGGGGGGGGGCAGGCGGCGTGACTCATCGCCCAGCCAGGCCGGGCCGTCTCTCCGTCCTCCTCCCTCGGCGGGTCGTGGTCGCGCGAGGGAGAGAGACGGACGACCCAGGGGGCAGGGAGCGACACTTTTAGACCAGATTTTTCCGCCGCCCCTCGCGCGCCGCTATTTTTCGCCGGCTATTCCGGGCACGGGGAGCAGGGGTCCCCCCGCCGGACCCACGGGACGCGGAATCCCCCTCCCCCGGGAAGGCGCGGACTTTTACGCGGACCGACTTCGGGCCTCTCGGCCGAGTCCTCGTGAGTCAGAGCTCGGCTGAATCACGAGAGCACTCGAGTCGAGTCCCCGGGGGCGACCCCCGACGTGCCCTCGGTCCCGGGGGACGGTATTTACTTTTTTTATTCCTTTTGTTCGTGACGACGGTTTCCAGGCACCCCGCAAGGTTTTTCGGGACCTCCGTCGAGATTCCTTCGCGGGATGCGATTATGGGCCGGAGCAATTGTCGCGGTTGGTTAGAGGGGGGCTATTCGCTCAGATCGGGAAATTGGGCATGCAGCGTCATGTTGGCCGTTGACGATGCGTCGCTCGGCGGGTCTCTCCGGGTTCCTGCTCTCGCAAAGTCGAGGGAGGAAATTGATTCGGTTACCTCGTTTGGTCTATCCCGACGCGAGCGAACGATTTACGAGTCGCTCCTCCGGCGGAAAGGGCACGCGGGAGGAAAGGGGGGAAGGGCGATCTCGCGAACGTCGCGGCAACGCGTTTCCGCGGAGAGGCGCGAGCACGATCCCCGGGAGGCGAAGCGAGAGAGACGGCAAGAGAAAGCCGGCCTTTGTCGAGAAGGCGAATCTCGACGAGACGCGCCGAGGTAAAAAGTACGCCCGTAACTTGCGGTTCGTCCCTAACCTCTCTTTTTTTCTCTTGCGAGAGAGATGAGAATCTTCGCCCCCCTCTCGTTCCCTCCCTCACGAAGGATCTGCAGGAAATTATTTGACGTTATCGTTGATTTCTCGATTTTAGGCGGACACAAGGAGTTCCATAGGCGGCATCGAGACCTCTGCGAGGACACGCTGCTCCCCGCCGGAGCGGGGGCGGCGGGACCCTCCGCCGTCGGCGGCTGCCCCAGCCCGGGGCCCGGGTGCCCCGGAGGCCCCCCCACCCCGCAGCCCGCGGACATCGACAGCCACCCGGCCTCCAGGGTCCTGCCCTTCCTCTACCTCGGGAACGGCCGCGACGCGGCCGACCTGCAGCTCCTGCAAGCCCTCGGGGCCACCCGGGTGCTCAACGTCACCTCCCAGCTGCCCGGCTACCACGAGGCTCGGGGCATCACCTACCGGCAGATACCCGCCTCCGACTCCGGCCATCAGAACCTCAAACAGTACTTCGAGGAGGCCTTCGACTTCATCGGTACGATCTTCGATGACGTTCCCCGGAGTCTACCTCCCCCTGGAGTCCCCTACCTGGCGGCCGTGCGAACCCTGACACCCGATTCTCGAGTTCGAGCGATCAACTTTCGCCGACCAAATTGTCACTTTCGTAGATTCGATTTTCGAATGTTGATCGATGTCGCGACTTTGCAACGATGCGACATTTTTTTATGATCTATTTGCGTGCGAGAAAAAAAATCACATTTTTTTTCTTCTTCTAAGTCATACATTTGAAAGTCATGTGCGATCAGTATTCCCATGCGACTTTCAAATGTTCCCCAATGACGCGGCTTCTCAACGATGCAACATTTTTTCATGCGAATATGTATTCGTATGCGGAAAAAGAAAAAATCGGCGTGAACTCGAGAATGGGAACCCTGGGGAGAAATTTTACTCGGAGAAACTTTCGAGCCCGGCGAGGGTCCTTTTTCGGGGCTGGGGCCCTTTTGCTCGGCATCCCCGACGGGGCCCGCCCCTTAGGGGGCGAGCTTTAACGGACGTCGTTTCCCAAATCGTCCCACGGAGTCAGGTTCGTTGGGCGGCCAGGTACGACATTCCACCGGTTGCACATTCGGGGGCGCACCCCTCCTAAGTTCTCGCGGGGTGCGTGCCCCCTCGTCGTTCGCACGCATGCGCGCCCCAGGGCTTGGGAATCGGCCGAGGAGAGGGCCTCTTTCGACGAGCTTTCTCGCACAATGGCCGAGGACCGCGTTTTCGGGCCCAAGAGGTTTGGCCCTTTGTCCCGGCCTTCGGGGCCCCGGAAACCCGGTGGGCGCATCCGGTCCCTGCGCAAAGCCCCTTCGCCCTTAACCCTCTATGGGCCGAATTTTTCAATAAATAAAAAAAAATGGGGGGAACGAAAAATCAGCAATTAGGAACCTATATATGCAAATGAAAAAAAAATTTTTCATTTAAAATGTCACCTGAAAGTTACACGGGCCCATAGAGGGTTAAAACGCAACGCCGACGATCGCGGCGGTGGATCTTCCCTTCATTTTTTATTTCATTTAAATCTCGATTATCATATGAAATATCGTGCAACGAGTGGATGCTCTATAAGGTGGTACGAAAGGGTCATTCTATATATATGTATGAAATATCTTGAAATTCACGAAATTTCATTTTCTGGAAAAATTAATGTTTTTTTTTTTTGGTTTTTGTCATGGATGGATACAAACATTTTGATTGAAAATTGAAATTTCCCGATTTATAGGAAAATAGAGGGGCGAATTCGGAGAACGTCCTTTGGGATGAAGAGGGGGCACCAATGGGCGCGAGAGAGAAAGAGGGCGCGGGAAGGGCGGAAGAGCGAGAGAGACGGAGCGAGCTACGCAAGCGGGCGCGTCCTCCGGCCGCGTGCGCCGTGCGTGCCTGCGTCCGTGACTCACTCCCTCGTGAATGGAAGCCTTTCGGCTCCTGCTCTCCGCGCGGTGAATGGTCCACCGGAAACGGCTGGTTACACCCTGTTTCCGTTATACGCGAAGCGCGTCGTGGAAAGCGAGCGCGATCGCCCCGAGATAGGAGACGAGACGATTACGAGGCGTCGAGGACGACTTTGGTCCATCCCGGCCGTTAATTATTTATCATACGTTGTACATTAAATGTGTATAACAGACGTCTCGATCGAGTCCTTGGACCTTCTTCATCAAACCCGTGAATATATATTTTTTTCGGCGGTTTAATTATTTTATTTCTTTTTTTTTTTTAATTTTATCTCGAAGCACGCGGACGCGAGAGACCGATCGAGTTCCCGGATTTCTCAGGGAAGATGAAATTAACGGCCGTTGACTTTTGCACGGGTGCCGGAAGAAAAATTGTCCGCGGCTCAGTAGTCGACTCTTTCTCTCGCTTATCATCGTGGTTATCGCGGGTGCCTACTTTCCCTCGATGCGTCCGCCCCGGCTCGGATCCCTTCTTAATTCGAGACGGATCGGGATTTTTCCCTTTGCGGGCCTCTTCGAGACCTTTTCCTGACGGAATTCCCGAGGGCAGGTGTTGGGAATTCCACTTTCCGTCCTTCCGCGGCACCTACACGTACGCACGGAATCGCGTACCCGCGTACATGGGATATCCTGCGAGGGAGAAACGCGAGCCCCCGTTGTTCCCCTCGCCGTCTCGCACGCGTCGACCCCTATGCGTCGGTCTCTCTCGCGCTCGCTGGGCGCTCCCGGGCGTAGCTTCTGACTCACGCCAGATGGTCGCCCCGTGCGACGGAGAGACGTCGAGAATCGGCGGGGCGAGCGAGGGAGAGAGAGAGGGACGCCAAATGCGCGCCCTCGTTAACGCGCGCGAGCCCCGGGCCCTGGACGCTCCCTTATCTTCCCCGTGACCACGCACCTAACGGCCGTTACGAGCATCGATTTACTTCTGACACGGTCTCTTGCGACTTATCGAATCCCCCGTTTTGCTCCGACGACACCTATCGCGGGGGCGACGACTCGCCGTTAACACTATTTGTTCCCATAATTATGAAAGTGGTCTAAGTCATATATTTTATGTTTAAAAAATTAAATTACATTGAATTAATTTCGTTTGAAATAATGTGCCATGAAATAACTGATAATCTCATTTTTTTTTTTTTATTTTGACTTAGACCACTTTCATAATTATGGGCACATTTCTACCGCGATTTTGTGTATACCCATTTCGACCAAAAGGTTCTTATGAGCTGGAGGAAAATGATACCGCTAAATGAATTTAACAATTATACAAAAACTCAAAACATTAATAGAGAAAAAAAATTATTAAACATTGAGAATGATTTCAAGTTAAAATTTTAAAAGGTGCCTTTTGACACCTTTGGTAGAAATAGTGTGTTAAACGTTGTGCGACCGAGTCTCGAGCACCCCTTGCTCGAGAGATCAATTTCCCCTGTTTTAACGATCACGCGGAATTGCGGGGCACGTTTTATCTCTATGTTTCATTTTAATCAGTTTCTACTCATTTTTCTGGATTTCTCGACCGACTCGAATTTTTGTCGCGTCGTTTTTCGCATGCGATTTAGATTTCCCTGGATTTTCGCCGGATGCAGAAACGCGTCTCTTGATTTCCTTCGTCCCGCCCGCGTGCTTCCGTCGCGGTAACGCACCGTGAAACGCACCGCGTAACGCCGTATGCCGGCACGCCGCGATCGCATAGGATCCGGGCGCTGTCGTGACTCACTCGTGATACGATAGCGTCCCCCATATTACGTAACCGAATCGCCCGTTTGGGTTACCGGGCGACTGGCTCGTTTGGCCGTTACAAGACTATCGCGCCACTCCGGGGAAAACGGGGGTGCCCCGGAGGGACGTCCCCGAGAGCGCGTCGGGAGAAGAAAATGCATCCACATCAGACCCGAATTTTTCCGGGGCATAGTTTCCGCACTATCTTTTTCCCCGATTCAATTTTGCGACGAGCCGTTATAACGGATCCCGACCGGGAGGATGCGCTCCGGTCGTTTCGCCGTATGACCGTTGTCATCCCGGTCGCGATTATCTCTCCCATTCAGGGTTCGCCTCGCCGAGGAAGTTATGCCATAATTACTCGCAACTGCAACAGGACGTCCTGTTTGCGGAATTCCGGATGACGCGGAGAGCCCGCGCGAGGCTGTCTCGAGTTGCGCAGGGCTTATCGGAGATATACGCAAATTGCCCTATCATTTGGTCTTTCCATTTTTTTTTTTTTTTTTTCCCTCGTCATGGATCGTGACTTTCCGCCGTTTATTTTCCGCCAACGCGCCCCGGGATGGGATATAAGCGTTTCGCGAGGTGGATCCTTAACCCTTTGGCTACTAAGAGCGCCTAAAGTCGCCCGACGTTTGGTCCAGTATCGCCTGCACGGTCCTACGAATTTCGCCCTTATGTCGAAATGGCTCCGGGTTGAAAGGGTTAAGGAGAGACCAGGACGAACGATATGGACGCGCGTCCCGAGCGACGTGCTATTCTCGGTGCAGTTTATTTACCAAAACACGGTGACTCACCGAGGCTCACTCGACGATTCGATCCGTTTGCCGGCGCGGAATCCGCGTCCTCGGGACGCGCGAGGGCGATACCCAATCGCCGAGTCCTCGTTGCCGTTTAACCGTTTCAGTGGCATGGGTTTTTAACACTAGGTTTACGGCCGTTTTTTATATACCCGTTTCTACGAGCACCCGTCAAATTGACGGGTAAACGGAAACACGAATTTTCTTTAAAAAATCGATTTATTCAAATTAAGCCTGTATTAAAGAACACTAGGCTTTACGTTTAAATGAATTGTTAATAAGTAAAAAGTCATTTTTTTAAAATTATACGTATACAACGAATGATACTAGCTTATCTTTACTGTTCACAGAGGAAGCCCGGAAGGCCGGAAGTAGCGTCCTGGTGCACTGCCAGGCCGGAGTGTCGCGCAGCGCGACCATCGCCATCGCCTACATAATGCGGCACAAGGGCCTCTCCATGGTGGAGGCGTACAAGCTAGTGAAGAACGCCAGGCCGATCATCAGTCCCAACCTGAACTTCATGGGCCAGCTGTTGGAGCTGGAGCAAGGTCTGAGAGCCGCCGGGGGCGTCGCCGCCCCCCAGGAAGAGCCGAAGAGCTGCCACCAGTGTCGCTGGAGTCACCAGCAGAACAGCGAGGAGGTCACTTCCGGCTGCAGCGTCTGAGGAGGCCCTCGAACCGCGCCGAATCGTCGATACGGATCCCACTACTTTCCTTTTCTTTTTCTTTTTTTTTTCTTTTTTTCCTCCCTTATCGAGGGATCGCCGACGACGCACCGCTACATATCCTTTACGACCTTTCCGAGGGAGAGAAGAGAGATATAAACTATTTACGAATACGTCTCACGTGCCTTTGTACGCTGCGCGGACCCCCGCGTGCCCTCGCGATTGTACGATTATTTATTAACCACGAGCAACCCCGTTCGCCGAGGAAAACACCCACGGGATGAGCTGGGTTGCTTGGGTTTCAATTTTTTTTTTTTCTTTTCCCCCCATTTCATTTCCTCCGACGAGTCGAGGACCGAGGGGGGTTGATCGCGACGTTTCGAGTCGACAACGAGCGGTGGGGGAGATATCCTGGGGCTCATCCCGCGTGAACCACGGGATCACGGAGCCCTGGGAGGGTACGGATGGGAATCGGGTTACCTGAGTATAAAGATACTAACGTTCACTGATTTTTACGAGTGCAGGGATTATAGAATTATTAGGATATAGGGTAGAATTAGGAGAGCTCGCGCATCCCGGAGGACCGGGAGGTTCGGCACTCAGGACAATAATCGAGGTCTCGAGGACGAATGGACGTCGGTAGACGGCACTTTTTCATTTTTATTCGAGGTACCAGGGACGCTCCTGGACGGTGACCCGAGTCTCGAGGTCGTGCGAGAAATTATTCGGCACGAGGAATTTACGGTCTCGCGTAACGCCTTCAAACGTCTACCAAGTACCGGACTTCGCAGCGATGCAGATATTTTCTTATGGGGATTTATTTCTATGCGAAGGAAAAAAAAAGGAAAAACATCCGGACGAACTCGAGAACAGGAGCCCAGGTCTCGGTTTATCCGGGTTTCGAGTCGGGAATCTCGATCCCGAGGACGAGGAACTCCGTCGAAGCTCGAGGACACACGAGGGCCTCCACGCGGAGCACGTGGGGGGCTTGACGACGCGAAGAAAGTCGAGAGTCGGTTTACGGGGACCCGGTACCTATACATCTTGCGAGATACGTGTCCGCCGACTAAAACGGGACGATCGTAACTCCCGCGAAATAATGCGGTTAAGACTTTTGGGATTTTGGTCCCGCGACGTGGGCCGACGACCTCGAGCGCTTCCCTCCACCGAGAGTCCCGATGCGATTATTTATTCACCTTTGCGAACACTCCTCGGGACAGTCGGGTGTACTTATCATCGACTTAGGGAGTCGCGCGACGAAACGGGCAGACATCTACGGATCGGGATCCGATCCTCGAGTTCATCCCTTCGACCTTACCATGGCTTCGCGTAGGACTTTCGGACGTTAACCCTTTAGCGCGACTCCACAATAGGAGATTTTTCATATGCCAAGAAAAAAAAGAGAAAATCCGCACGAACTCGAGGATCGAGTCCCAGGAGGAAAAGCGGCGGTCCTCGACCGGGGAATCGTAGTATTTGCGATTAAGCCGATTAACCCCTTAACTTGTGCGCTGGAGTTAATTCTATCACTAAACAGGCCAAACTGTGCACCCTCGAGATAATTCCAGCGGCGTTGTATTTTATGCCATTATAATTTTTCACCCTCGAATATAATCAAGAATTTTATTTTTTTGCTAAGACAATGTTCTGTTTTTTTACATCAAAAAAATTGATTTTATTTGGCCGATTTTTTTTTTTAATCTGTGGGTTAATTCTATCACTAAACAGGCCAAACTGTGCACCCTCGAGATAATTCCCGCGGCGTTGTATTTTATGCCACTATAATTTTTCACCCTGGAATATAATCCAGAATTTTATTTTTCTGCCAAGACAATGTTGTAGTGTTTTCTTTTTACATAAAAAAAAATTGATTTTATTTTTGGCCGGTTTTTTTTTTAAATCTGCGTTAAGGGGTTAAGCTCGTCCGGGGATGTCGGGGGGAGCGAAGTTTTCAAAGTTTTGCGATTTGCATTAGCCTAGGACTCGTAATTTGTATTTCTGTATCTCTTATGTACGCTACTCGAGGTCCACCAGCGACGCCACGTGTTTTTTACGGGCGACGGGGAACACGGCGCCGATTTAGTTAGTTAAGCCCTTAGCATTTAAGGATCTGGTCGAGGTGTCCGACCATCGTGATCTAGTCGTTCTCTTGGGACATGTCGACGCGCGCGGCCGGACTCGTCGCTAGTCCACGAACCAAGGCCGAGCCCTTCTTATCCGCTCTTTCCTGGCAAAATTTGCCCCCCGACTCGCGCTAATGGATCGTCGAAGCTCCGAATTTTCTGGCCGATGCGTGGAGAACGATTCGAAAGACGCGCCTCCTGAGCGATCGTCGAGACGCCCTCTAGGTGCGTCTTCGAGTCCTTGTCCGGAGCATCCATCGTAAAAAACCGCTCTAGGCCTTTGACAAGTTTACGGCGAAAGGAAACTCGAGGCGAGCGATCGATATGTCGATTTTATAGAATCGCGCAGCCGATCGATCCTTTGCGCGTGCGCGATGGAAGGCTTAAGGGAGAGTCCTTTGTTACCACCCGAAGGCACGACTTGAAATTTTTTTTTCTCTTTCTTTTTACGAGTTATAAAACTAGATTAGATCACTATTGCGCGTGAGATAAATACTTTGTTAAACATTGTGGATAAGCGAGCACTCCAGTGGGGAGGATCTGTCGTTGCGACGCCTTTGCTAAGGAGGGGACGAAGAGAGAGAGAAAAAAAAAATGAAAGAAAGAAAACTCGATCACTGACAATAAACCCCAATGGCGGCTACGGAGAGCGGCAAGATGGCGGCGCCCTCGAGAGGGAGGATCCGCGCCGCGGTCGCAAGTTCCTTAACGATAAATGAAAACAAAAAGGAAAAAAAAATAAATGATAATAAGAACTCGTCTCCTTCGAGTATCGAAACGGTACATATCAGGACTACGTCGCCTTCTCGCGGGAGCATATATAGATGAGGACAGCCATACCAAGGATATTGATATGTATTATGTATATATGTATGTATGTATACACCCGCAACACACCTATACGCATATGTAACTTATATTTATGCCCGAGAGGGCCGAAGCTCGGTTTTCCCCTTGGAAGAAATCCTGTAAAAAGTTGTACATTGCTCGGAAGGACGCGCAAACGTTGTAAATAGGGAATTAGGGTGGCGACCCGGGAACAACGAGGGATGGGGGGAAAATAGTGAGCGAGATACGACGCCATAAGGGTGGGAACGGAACGAAGGGGGAGGAAGTAAGGACTAACGCGTGTATTTGCCCGAGCGATGCCGCGATCGAGGAAAATCGTCCGCGAGACGTGGTGGCTGCGCGTCGGCCGTTGGAGGAGGCAGGCTTCAAAGACAAAAAAGAGATATCGCGAAGCGTAGTACCTGTTGCATCGTAAGGATGCCTGTATGTCGTGTGCGAGGGTCAGGGGGTGCCTGGCTCTCATATGTATATCGTAGGGCGCACGCACACACTTAACGCGAAAATCGGCAACCCGCGCGTTCGGGGGTTGCCTCTGGCTTTTCGGGTTTGAAAATCGCGCCCCATCCGCCATCTTGGACTAACTGCCTTCGGCGCGACTTTTGAATATCTCGAAGGCCTCGACCAGGGGAGCGATGCGGATGCGCGAGCGCGCAACGGGCCTCCCGTTGATCACCCTGACGATTCTTTTTGTAATATATATATACGGAACTACGTGCATAAGCGGATGATATAGCGAGTAACGTATTAAAGATATATATATATATATAACTGTGCCGTACGCGCGAGTATTGTACTATATCAAAATTTATTTAGTTATTTTGCGAATACAACGCACTCTTTAAAACGGCCACTCTTGTCATTTTCTTCCGCCATCCCTGTCGGCGTTGGAATTTTGCCTGCCGTTTGTTGAATTCTTCCTTCCACTGCTGAGAAGATGACGTCGCAGCAGTGGAAGGAAGCAGAGGAATTGTCCTACTAATGAGAATCAATATTTATGTAGGACAATTCCGTTTATACATAATTCAAGACTGTACAAAGTAAAAGTTGAGAACCCTTTTCCATCCCACGAGGCGGTAGCATCGTGGGGAGGAAAAGGGTCACACTTCTGTCTTAAAACGCGTGAACATTGCCACGCGTAGTCAAGTGTACCGAACCATTCACCAGTTTTCCCTGAAAACAGTCAGACTTACTACTACATTACCAACTATATTGTTTCTGCGCAGAAACCGTCAATTTAAACTAGATATCCTATATTTCTAAGGGTATATATAAATATTACAGCAGATTGCCAATTGTCCGACTATCCTAATTGCTGCGCAGCAACGATTACACCTACCCCTTATACTAGGTTACATTTAATTCTTAACTTAGCGCATTAGCCTTAACTTAGTTTTATTCATAGCCGGAAGGACGGGTTCCTGAGATGGCGCAACTTTCCTAGACCTTCTCCTAAGGACGAATTCAAGATTCTCCAAAAGATTGGACTTCGGGATCGAAGAGACCATCTTCGGGAGCTTCGCCTTCCCAGCTACAGTCGACACCCTAGGTATACAAACTTTTTTCGGCACTCCTCCCATGTTCTTCCGGTCTTCGCGGAGTTGCCTCCTGATCCGTCGGCGCAAAACGGGGTCTCCCTTGCAGACCTTGAACCAACCTCTGGAAACAGAGGCCGCGTCCGCCAGAGATTCCCCGTCGAGCTTCCTCAGGATCATGCACGACAACTCCACAGGTAATACCTTCACGAAATCCGAAGTCTGACACCCGGCTCCAATAGCGCTCATGAGGTAGGTGAAGTACTCCATGTTGCTAGCAGCTTGGTAAGCAGACGATTGACTGACTCCGTCCAGGTAGGGCCCTTTTATACCCCCCGGCGCAGGGACCGCCCGCTGCGCCGGCCAATCAGAACGCAGGACTCGGCGCCCCGGTCGCGCGGCCAATCAGCGCGCAGGACTCCCCACCCCTCCACTCCGCCGGCCAATCAGCGCGCAGGACCCCCACCCCTCCACTCCGCCGGCCAATCAGCGCGCAGGATCCTCCTCCCCCAACGGTCGGCCAATCACGGCGCGGCAGGTAGTAGAGTAGGGAACGAGTAGCGAATGCAGATCTAGAGTGGGGGGAAAAATGGTATCGCACTCACGCGGCCATTGTCCTTTACTCGAAATTATTGAAATCACTTGCGCGTTACACGCCTACCATTTCCTCAAATACAAGATTCCTTTTCTTTTTATTTTCCTTTGACGTACAAATTAAACCGTAATGTATATAAATGATTGTGCATACATGCCGCCATTGGAACGTAACGTGTAAATAGAAAGACTTTTGATTTCCCTACGTTTACTTTCGTACTCAGTCTCCTCCCTGGGTTAGACTACAGCTACAGATGTGGATTTCGATGCCCGACTTGTCCCAGAATCGATTAACCCTCGTTTCTAACCGACTCTATGACGGCTAAATTACGTGTAAACCAGCTAATTTTATTAATCAATACATGTCTTTGTGCCTTTTTATGTACACGAGAACATTGGCATAAAGGTTGCGGTATCCCGGTAATTATTAAAAATCCCTGTATCGTCCCATCGGACCGAGCACGTATTTTCTTAAAGGCCGAGAAGACTATTTAACAATCTATACCGCAATACGAATAATGATGAAACCTGCAACTTTCGCCTCGAAAACTCCCATTAATCTAGAGAAATTAAATCGATTCAGACCTACGTTAACTTTAAGCCCGGTTTAGCACGTTGAAAAGAAGAAGTAATATTATAATCGACCTACTGGTAATCTATACGAATACTTTAAAAACGTACCATCGATGAAGTCTGCTGGGTATAAGTAGCTCCGTGGTAACATTAAAAACGAAATATTTAAACGAAAATTGATATTATGGCGATAAAAAACACTCAGTGCTGCACGAAGATATAGACATTTCTTTAAACGAATAATATTGAAGCTCGTCAATTGTTTACGTGCGATTCGTATATACTTCCTTAGTCTACCGTGGTAATGCGAAAGTAATTACGAGTACTTCCAATCGGATTCAACTCACATCTACGGTAACGTTACAAAGGCATCCAAACGGTGCAAGTATTGTGGGTAGTTGAGAATGAAAAAAAAAAAAACAAAAAAAATATATGAAAAAAGAAATGAAAGTTTAAATTTTCTCAGGTCCGGGATAGACTGTACGACACTTTGTAATTGTAATATTTAGCAAAACTTATCGGAAGGACACCCCGACGTTAAAGAGTGAAGCTCCAATTGTTTCGAACCGTTGCATGATAACGTATTCGAACGCTTAATCGTAAGTCTCGCTGTCACGGATATTAATTACTAATTGTAAGTGAATCCGTAATCGTTAACAACTAGTGTTACGTAGCTCACCAACTCTAAGCCCAAGATTACTGTAACGGGAGAATGGGGTGGTGGCAGGAGAACCGGGGAAAATTTTACAGCCACGTTGTTAGTTGCTCAATAAGGCCGCCATCGCCCTTATCAGAGCAGCATTCTCCTCTTGCAGTCGTTCCCTCTCGAGTGCCATCTCGTGTTGCTGTTGCAAAAGTCTAGCTTCAAGGGCCATTATCTTGTGATCGCGAGTCTCCAGAAGCGAGAGGAGCCTCCTGTTTTCCTCCTGCGTCCGCTCGATTAGCTGTCAGAAATCAATTGTATTAAGTCGATGCCGAATTCTATGATATAACATGGAACTATAGATCGTAGGTAAATGAATAAATTGAAAGATGAGGAAATAAGTATCTTACATCTTGTGGGTCGTCGCCAGTTGGAGTTTGCACCGTACGCCGGTTAGGTGTTAACGCAGGTTGTGCCTCTTGTGTTCCCTGGTCCGGTTGATTAACCCCGTTGGACTGATTTAGAGAATCGAATTCCTCGTCGTCCGCCTCCAAGTCGGAATGGCTAAAACGAGTAATAAAGGAATCGCAATCTTAATATGTCTCCACATACCTGCGCGACTAAGCCGCAGTAACTGCGTTAAAATACCGGCGAATGACTACACAGTCATAAGAGAGACATTCCCATTGTACTTAGCCATGCTTTGCGATTGGTAACGTAAACGTAATTAGCCGTTAAAAGACTCGATTCATTAGGCACGACCATCTCCGTGGTGACGTTAGTTACGTGGTACTAATGCCAACTAACTAGTGAACTGATTACGGTATCATATTCGGATAACCGCCTCGTGGAGAGATTCCAAAGTACGGAGCGACTTCGATGTAAACGTACGGGATAATTTCTTTTTACACTTTTCGCTTTTTTCAATACGAAATAAATGTACTATGAGCAGTACTACCGTACTTCGTACAGACCGTGCCTAATTGGTACCTTTGCACGTCACCCTAACACACTTACCGACTGTGCCAAGCCGTGCATGACCTGTATGAAGTACGGTATTGCCTAAAATAAGTACGTCATTAGACGGTGACTATTCCGGTAGAATTATTTCTACGATACGACGTGTACTTAACGAATAAAACAACAGTGGCTGTACCTTTTGTTTCTCCTCTGCGTAAACGCTTTCGTTGCCCTTTCCTGAAACACAATTTAATTTTTTTTCTGCGTGATCCGGTACTCGATTAACTTTTACAAGATCATTATGAAGGCTGGACAAAGAGTCGAGATCGAGTTTCGAAATGCTTTTCGAGACTGAGTAGAGATTTAGAAATTTTACGCGAAAGACAAAATTATTAAATTTATGATACATATGTACACGTATCGACATGGAAATATACACATATGCTGATACTATGGATCGGGTTACCAATTAATTATATGCTTCATGTTGCAGGTAAAGCTTTCATGTCCTATACATACGCTTGTAGTTACCGAGCTGGTTGAACTTACTTCGATGAGTTCATGATCAAGGAACTCATTGTGGTGCGTATTGTGCTTAGTTTCAAGACAAGTACCGCTTAGTTCCTCCTCGTCTTCTCCTGTACTACCTCCTGTACTCTGTGCATCGAAACAATCAAAAGAATTACATTTTGTTGACCCACGATGCTTATATTTGTTTTTGAAGAGTGCGACGGTGAATTATTTAAGATGATAGCAGTAGATGTCTGCCTCGATTTAATGGTAATGGCTTTGCAGCATACGAAAGTAAAGTGCTATGAGACTGCATAAATTTTGAGATGTTACGATTTTCAAGTACAGGATAGTATGTAGAAGACCAGACACGGAAATGGGAGAAACAACTTGGTAAATTATGCTACATCGACAAAGCGTTAAATAGCGGCGATAATCAAGCAAGAAATTTTAATCTCATTTATTTGACATTGGAGCATTTTCGGTAAACTAAAAATATGGGTGGAAATTAATTGCCATGCTTGATTCTCATCGCTAGTGTTAGGCATTAGTGAAAGATCGAAGAAGAATACTGAAATACAAACACAGTCAATGTCAGGGACAAATTTAGAAAATTCGAGTTTGGTATCGTTAGTACTATAATCTACATTTATATGATTCAATGCATTCGGTAACTTTAACCAACATCCAGTGACCAATTGATCTTCTCTTTCGATTGATTCTTCTATTTTTTCTAAAGTACACACCCAATTGTTAGTAACAACGATAGGCATGCACCCAGGTTATAAATGACACACCTCGGTCGAAGGTAAATGAAGTACTCCCGTGCTACGTCTCTTTTCTCTTAGCTTTCTTCTATCGCGTTGCTGTTTTCCTTTATTAATGTGTGCTGGCCTGTACAAAGGACAAGGAGAACCGAACGCTCCTTAATATGACTAAGAACAAATATTGACGAGTCAGAGTAGTATCGGATGAAGACACTCACCGACCAGTTACCCGTTTGTCTTGTTTCCTCATAATTGGTTTATTTTGTTGACCATCGTGGTCAGGTGGAAGTACACTGTTTGAACTCGATTCGCATACACCTTGCGCTTCTTCCACATCCCCTGTATTCTCTAAAACAATGAAATCAACATATGCCTCCAATAATTTCATATAAGAAAACTATTATCTAACATATCGGATTATTGCCGAACGATTTTAAAGAATCGTGCCATTCACCCATTCCACCCACAAATATCTAGAACAAAGCAACCTTAAAATAACAATGCATTTGGGTCAACAAAAGGTTAACCCATGAACATTGCCAACTATTGCGAACTTCTCCTATTTCTAGTTCGACCGCATTTTTGTCAAGTGCCTGATAAACAATTCGGTGAAGCACGTTACATCCTCTTTTTCTTGTTTCTTATTTTTTAACATACTTTGAAACGCTATGGAAGAAGACTCTCCCGTCCTGAGTGGGCCTACTCGTGCCCTAGCGGTCCTGACCTTGGATCTTCGAAAACAGAGCTCGAAATCATTTTCAAAGTCCTCCTGACTGACCGAGCTGGATGCCATGCCGGCAACGTCGCTGCAATGGAAGTGCAATAGTTACCCGACGTTCGTCACAGGTCTCCTCGAGAGACATTGTCAAAAAATTAAAATAAAAAGTGAGCTCTTACAAAAGATACCTGGACATCTGAACAAAGGGGTAGGTGTCGGTACCTGTGGTGACCTGTTGTGCACCGAGGGAGTTCGGTGGACCGACTCTTTAGGAACACGGGCTCGTCTCGAGAAGGCGACGAAGCTCCTTAAGGCTTTTAGCTTTAGATCTAGCGGGCGGCGAGTGAGAAAAATAACGATTACATGACAGCGACGATAGTTGGCTTCTTCGGTCGGCGTTAGTGATCGCTGCTTATAGCCGACTCGCGACAGCTTGCGTCGACTCGCGGTACACCTCTCGTGGATTGCCGCACCGACGGAATTTCCTTTCTTCACTCCGGGAAGTGACCTACACCGGTGACTCACTCTTGTACCTATTGACAGCTGTCAACCCTTGAGGACGGTCATAAGCACACACTGACCAGACGCAACGACTACACGGTACACAGATGGAGGGGCGTATTGATTTCGACATGCGCCTGCACGGACCGTTTTGCCTAGTTTCACGTTCCCCTAGAATTTGACTTTTCTAAACGAAATGTCCCTAGCGTGCACTGACGGCGCTACCGTTGCCTTATAAAAACCATAGACATAGGAATATAGAGACGGAGTGTAATGTTGCGAGGCGGGAAGCTACTGAGGGGAGGGTGACGAGTATTTTGTGCCTAACTTTGATTGGCTAATGTTCTGCGCAAGCGTAACGCGTACTTTATGCTAAGGCTCTATATTCCTATGGTATGATAAAACTCGCAAGTAGAAGCAGTATGTGCATGGAATGTATTGCATCGATGCGTCAGATGAACAGCCAATCAGAATTACAGCCGAATTACGCACAAAGTTAAGCGCAATTCTGATTGGTTTTCCATTTTCGATGCGTGACGCGTCGCATCGCGCTCAGTGCAGCCAATGAATTCAGAACTCTGAATTCTTTGGTGGAGCTCCGGCCTAAATAAAGCTCACAAGTTTTGTGGATTTTGAGTACTCTTAATTCGAGAAATGTAAATAGAAGCATATTAATAATTACTTCTGAGGAGCACTACGTGATAAATGTTTCATTGTAAGAAAATATCAACGGGGGAAGCTTTTTAGGGACTTCGAGCGTATTGGAGTCTTGATAATATGACTTTTCGAGTTTATTACGATAACGTGAAGAAAATATTCGTTTTAGAGTTATAATCATATTGAATTTTGTATGTTGTTTCATAGTAACCGAAATAGCACTGGGTGTTGAAAGTGTGCAGCTAACCAATGTCATGTATGGCTCCTTAAGTGTATGTAAAATAATTTTGACATTTCGATTAGTTACTCGAATAGCTTTAACATATGATATCAAAGATGCGGAGACTTAAATTTTGTATTTCCAGAAGTCTGCCTTTCACGATGCCATTCAAGTTCCATCTGAAGAAAAGTCGACAGTACAATGTCGTCTCAAAAAATCAATATGTCATTTGCGTCGAATTGCTGGATGCAACGACTATAGAATGTACCTTAAGTATCGACAGCATAGGGCAAGAATGTTTAGACAACTTAACTCAACGTCTCGGTATCAATCAACCTGAATTCTTTGGATTGCGATATGTCTGTCGACACGGGTCCCCTTCCCTTAGATGGGTAGATATGGACAAGCCCTTAAAAAGACAACTCGAGAAAGAAGCTAAAAGCTTCAATCTACATTTACGGGTCATGTACTATGTAACTGATGTACAACTTATTCAAGATGAGATGACCAGGTAAATAATCTAGTTAATTTTTAGTAACCTTTTCATGATTTTATAACAATTTTTAGGTATCATTATTATCTACAACTGAAGAACGACGTACTGGAAGGCAGAATACAATGTAATTCGAGACGAGCTACTTTATTAGCTAGTTATTCGATGCAAGCTGAATTTGGGAATTATGACCCAGAAAGATACACTACGGAATGTCTTCGACGCTGTTCGTTCTTCCCTAAAGTAAATATGTTGTATTTGACCAAACATAAAAAAAATTCAAAATACTGTCAGAACTCTATTGACATGTGATATTTTGTATCTCATCTAGGACATAATGCAAGCAGAACCTGGAGGACAAGATGCTCTACTAAATGCAGTCATATGTCAATACAAGAGTTTAATTGGTGTAACGCAAGCAGCTGCCGAAGAACTCTACATTTCCATTGTGGTACAGCTGGATGGTTACGGTCATGAAACATTTACAGCAAAGGTACTGCGACATGTTATACAATTATTATAATTCAATATGCTAATAATATTACAATATAATAATTCTTTCAGGATGAATCAAACAATGAAGTGGTACTGGGAATCTCAGTGAATGGTATTATGGTTGGATATCCTACGACACAAACTACTCAATTCTATAGGTATAAAATTGCTTATGATTTATACTAGTATAAAATGTTTCAAGAATTCGCTTACATATTTTTCTTTTAAATAGGTGGAAGGATATCAGTAATGTTATTAATCACAAAAAGGTATTCAGAATAGAATGCCAGTCGGAAGTAGAAGAGGCAAAACAATTTATATTTGGGGAGTCACGTAACGCAAAGTATGTATGGCGGCTGTGTATAGCACAGCACACATTTTACATGCAGCATCAAGAGTCACGTCCATCGGATCGTCTGACAAATGGTTATTTTGTAAGTATTTTATATATTTTTAGATTTACTTCAATAAAATGTTTAACCTTGGTTTGGTTTAATTTTTTAGGACAGTGATACAAACGACTCAGGAGAACAAACTACATCTGTTAATTCAGAGAACCGTGCAGTAGAAGATCAAATGCGATGGACCAGTTATAATGATCTCTCAACTTCGCCTTATCCACCAGTTGTATCAGTTTCTTCAACTGATATTAATAATCTACGCGCATTGCTTCCATCATATAGACCTGCTCCAGATTATGAGACAGCCGTCCAAATGAAATACAATAATGGCGGAAATGCTCCGCAGCCTTATTACGCAAATCAATCTACAATCGTAGGACCTGATCTCTCATGTTTACTCGGTAATGTAGTAAACAGAAGCAGATATTAATTATTAATAGTTTTTCACTGTTATAATATCATTATTAATTGTTGGTCACAGTCACGTAAGTCATCACACAAATAAATTTAAGACCTGTTTGTCTTGCATTATTTGCACTAATACAGGTTAGTGCAAAATAGTGCTGTAGGGATCACAATAAATTACCAGATTTAAAGTCTGCGTCGTACATAAGTTGCATTGCTTTGATGAGAAATTCTGTTTAACAGTATATTTAAATGATTAATATTAAATCTAGAATAAATAGAATATTATTTTTATATATTAAATATATAGCAGGATAAACAAATTTTAACAAAATTTTATTTTTGATTGCTTTTTTGATGGTATGTTTGGATGATATTATATGTACTAAAAATGTAAGGAATATTTATTAGTTGTAAAATGACTTTAAATTTGTCAATATTATTATATTAAAAAACAATGAACAACATAACATTATATTAGACAATAAAACAATAACAAAAATAACAAAGTTTCTTGTTAGCTAGTTACACTTTTTTCCTCATCTACTAATTTTAAAATAGCTTCGAGTAATGCTACTGGCTCAGGTTTTTCAGAAACTGCATGAATTTGGATTCCTGCATTTTTTAAAGCTTCTTCTGTTACAGGACCTACTGCAACAGCTTTTAATTCCTTTAAGGCAATACCCATTGTTTTCAATGCAGTAATGACATATTCTACTACTGATGGACTAAAGAATATAAATATCTGAGGTCTTGCCTCAATAATACTTGACAAATCATTTTGTAAAGTTTCACTCGGTAATGTTTGATAGACAACAAGTTTATGTACCAAAATTCCTCTTTCACCAAGAAGTTCTGTCAAAGTATCTCGAGCAATTTCACTGCATGGATAGAATAAAGGCTTAGAATCTCTGCAGTTCTTAGTAACTATTTCTTTAGCCAGCTCTTTAGAATTTCCAGAATTCCTGCCCATACAATTTTTAAATCCACAATTTATTGCCAATGCTTCCGTTGCTGGCCCAATGCAAAATGTCGGAAAGCTCTGCCATTGTTCAACATTGGTCTCTTCTACTTGCTTCAATGCCAGAGCAACAGCTTCTACAGATCGAGTGCTAGTTAGTATAAGACCTGATAATAAATGAAATTGTTCTTTAATCATAAAATCATTTTATCTGGGAATTTACTCAATAACGCAGTGAAAAATTACCCGAGTATCGGTGCCAGGCCTGCAAATGTGTTTGCAATTCTTGCTGATTTACAAAGTTAAATCGGAGTACTGGCAAATGGTCGCAAATGTAGCCAGCAGATTCAAATTCTTTAATATATGCACTCTCATTCTTCTCCTTGTTTCCTTTACACAACACTACTTTTCTTCGACAATTCGACATTGTTACAGTTTACCCTTCATACGACGTATCATACAATTTTTATAAATTTAATCAGGAATTCTGAATTAATAACATTTTTCTGATTGTTTTCAAAATCAGATATCAACAGATATCTATTGCACAAAACCTTAACATGATTACATACGCAATTAGGAATCAGCCTTTAACGTAGGTTCACAATTTGTCGTCCGTTTTCTTCAACGAGTTTAAAGAATCTAATAGAGTTTGAGCAGTCTAGTGACATCAGTTTACACCGTGATTAAGTCCGAATTTAAAGTTACCATCAGAGATGAGTTGGTTTTGCGCATCCTAACAGCGCGGTGGCAAGATATGTATACATATGAAGGGTAACCTTTCAAAGAAATTTGTTGCCTATTGTTGCTGTCACAGCATGTCACAGTAACATAAGAATTTTGTCGCAGAAGATTAATATTTGTTGTGCAACCTGCTTTCCACACTGTAAATACAGCTGTATACGAACTGCATAATTAATAGTGATATAATCCGAAAATTGTTTGTTTCATCGAGTGCATGTAATGTATAAGAAAAATATAATCTAACTGAACAAAATTCTGTCTGTTTTATTTTATCGGAATTTTGTTATAGTATTTAATATTCACATATATTTTATTAAAAAAAAAAATGAGTATGTCGATTTAATATAAATCTTTTGTATTCTGTATTTTGTAGATGCTTTTAAAAAACATATACATGTTTTTCCAACTTTTTTTACATTGATTCTGTTTTACGAAAATACTGTCCACTTTTCTAGGTGACATGATAGTGACAATTAATGTTTTTGTATTCATTTGGCATTTAGATCTGACAGAAATAATTGCATTATGCGGGAGCTACCACGTCTCACTCGGTCTTTAAGGGCCTTCACTGATTTAGGGCGAACAAAAGAAGTAGAGGATTTCCTACCTAATGACCTAATTGCCAAGAGACTGGAGAGAGAAGAAAAATCAAAACAGTAAAATGAATCAAGTTTTATTTTAATTTAGTGTGTTATTTATATGCGTAACTTTGTTAATAATTACAGCAATCCAAGTTGGCAAGACTTTTGTAAATATGTTGGTGATGACGTTGCACCCTTACTTTATGAATTACGAAAAATAATGATTATCTATGGTTAGTAAACTATGGAATAAATTCTTGTATATGAAATAATCTATTTATATATTATATATGTAACATGCATTTAGTAGGATAATATTTTTTAGGTGGGGAAGGTCAGACTTCACAATTTATAGATGACGCGGCACTTTTTATTTTGAAACTTTTGATTGATGAAAATAATGTAAATCAAAAACATCTGAAGATATTACGTGAAAAGTTTGGGACAGTTCCTTTGAATGAGATTAACAAAGTCATGCAGGTATTATACATTGTGGCAAAATGTAAATTTTGTTATTAGTCTAATATTAATATTTTAATTTACAGATAATAAATATTATACGCGATAAATTAACAGATGAACAATTGGAGTTTTTAAAGAAGTCCGAGAATGAAACATCTGATTGTGATATGTTTCAGTCAAATATATTTGGCTCAAATATGTCATGTAACACTGCAAATGTTATATGGCCTAATACGGAAATGTTGCACAATGTGCTGACTAAAAAAATAATTCCATGCTCTGAAAATTTTTCAATGGCTTATAGGAATAATAATACTGTAGAAAAATCAGAGGTTTGTGGTTGAAACTATTTTTTAATTGCCGTAACAAATTTTAGGTTGTCCGTAATTAATACTTTCTATTTATTTATCTAATAGTCTATTGTATTTACAGTTCGATATTCGAGAGTTTTCACAAGAATTAAAAGCATGTTATGTTAAATATATTTCTGAAATGACATATGAGGAATTTAGAGCAATGGTTATAAATAAGTTAAATAATCCAGAGAATTCTATTCAAACGGATTTATTTGACTTGTTAGGATATGAACACATAGAATTTATTGAATATATCATCAAGCATAGAAAAAACGTTCTTGCTCTTAATTTTATTCAAAAACCACAGCCATCAAAGTATTCGGAAGGTAAATTTTTCAGTCTTTCAAATGGAAATTGCAGACATTCTTTTAAGTTGTTAGTACATTGAGAATTATTTTCAGTATTGCAACAGCCTCATATCAGTCAACAAGTTATAGTTCAGTCAGAAAAAGAAAAACAGTTATTAAAACAGGTCCGGAAAGAAGAGAAAAAGTTAAACAAACTCACAAGTAAATTAGAAGGAATGGATAGCGATGATGAATCTACGTTTAATCCAATTGAGTTACGTTTGAAGAGACAAGAAGCACTAACGGCGATGCAAGCGCCAATATTAGCCAAGCCAAAAATTTTTTCGGAAGTGATTCATCGAGAAAAATTCCCATTTGTATTTGATTCAAAAATAACTGCAAAATCTTCTGCAGGTATTGAATGCAACGATGAAGGTTTATTATAAGTATCGATAGTGCCAATTTATTCTATCGATAAAATATATTTTACAGGATTTATTTCTGGGCAGAAAATCATGTTACCGGATTCTCTAGAACGAAAAGATTCTCAACTATGTGAAGAAATTTACATACCAGTTCCACAAGGAGGGCTTATTGACATCGAAGACAAACCTGTTAAAATATCTTCTTTGGATGAAGTATGATCATTCCTGTATTATTTTATTTCACAAAATGTCATTTATAAAATTTGCAAGTTAAAATGATTTTAGCAATTAACACTTTCTTTTTTATTATAGGTTGGTCAAATGGCATTCCAGGGCATTGAATCACTGAATCGAATACAAAGCATTGTATTTGATGCTGCCTATCATACCAATGAAAATCTTCTTATATGTGCACCGACCGGGGCAGGTAAAACTAACGTAGCCATGCTTACGGTGGTGCATCAGCTGAAGCTGCACATTGAAAATGGAGTATTATTAAGGGACCGATTTAAAATTATCTACATCGCACCCATGAAAGCCCTTGCAGCTGAAATGACAGCAAATTTCAGTAAACGGTTAAGCTGTTTGGGGGTATCGGTCCGTGAACTGACCGGTGACATGCAACTAACCAAGTCTGAAATTCTACAAACACAAATGATAGTAACTACCCCAGAAAAATGGGACGTAGTTACTAGGAAAGGCACTGGAGACATTGCATTGACAAGTATCGTTAAGTTATTGATTATAGATGAAGTTCACTTGTTACATGGAGATCGCGGACCAGTCGTTGAAGCCCTCGTTGCTCGAACTCTTAGACAGGTGCCTCAGTTTCACATATTACTCTATGCGAAGATATTTATCAAGTCTAACTAATATATTGATTTTTTAACAGGTTGAATCTTCTCAAAGCATGATCAGAATCGTTGGTCTTTCAGCGACTTTACCAAATTATGTAGACGTTGGTCGCTTCCTTAGGGTTAATCCATACAAGGGATTATTTTATTTCGACCATCGTTTCCGACCTGTGCCTTTAAGTCAGACGTTTATAGGAGTGAAAGCTATTAAGCCACTTCAACAAATGGCTGACATGGACACTGTTTGTTACAATCATGTAGTTGACATGGTGCGAAAAGGACACCAGGTAGATTACGAAAAGAAACGACAAATCATTTTCGGTATTATAGAGAATAATAATTAAAATTAATAAGACTATTTCTTCTATTTCAGGTCATGGTATTTGTACATGCTCGCAATGCAACGATTCGTACCGCCACAGTGTTGAAAGAAATGGCACTACAAAATGGAACTCTCAAATTATTCGCCCCTGACAAAAGTTCGACTGCTGCTCAAAAAGCTCTAAGCAGATCTCGTAATAAACATCTCGGTGAACTTTTTACTTATGGTTTCTCAGTCCACCACGCCGGCATGCTGCGTACCGATAGGTGATTATATCAGATTACCGTCTACAGAAAATGTACTATTCGCTTCACACTCCTAAGTGAAAAAACTAAAGATATAATCCTTTAATTTAATTACATTTTAGAAATTTAGTTGAGAAGTATTTCAGCGAAGGTTCTATCAAAGTTTTAGTATGCACCGCAACACTGGCTTGGGGTGTCAACCTGCCTGCGCATGCTGTCATTATACGAGTAAGGATAAACAATGTCCATAATGTTCATTTGTTTTTCTACCTTGATAGAACGAGACGTAATTTCATCTAAATGTGATATTTTTTGTTTTCCATCTATACAAGTGCATTCGGTGGTATTATTAAACATTACTTACAATTGCTGAATTTTGGACTTTTGAAATTCGGCATTATTAACGTGTTGTTATTGTTTTAGGGAACAGAAATTTATGACTCAAAACATGGGTCGTTCGTGGATCTTGGTATCCTAGACGTACTGCAAATTTTTGGTCGTGCTGGTCGGCCACAATTCGACACTTCAGGCCATGCAATCATTATAACATCGCACAATAAATTGTCGCACTATCTGTCGTTATTGACTAATCAGTTTCCAATTGAAAGTAGTTTCATCGTCTACTTAGCTGACAACTTAAACGCAGAGGTAAGTTGTACGGGCAATTTTATTCTTTCCATTTTGAATTTTAATGGTTTGATTAATAATTAATAATTAAAATTGTTCTTCTTTTTTTTTCGACACATTTCAAGGTCGCATTAGGTACAATCTCAAATGTTGAAGAAGCTGTTGAGTGGTTAAGTTATACATATCTTTTTGTGCGCATGAAACTCAATCATGTTGCATATGGAATTTCGTATCAAACTATCATTGAAGATCCTAATTTGGAACGAACACGAAAAGAATTGATTGATATAGCTGCTAAATCTCTGGATAAGGCACAAATGATTCGATACAATTCTCGTACGGGAGATCTCAGTTCCACAGGTACGCTTCATCTTAATAAATCATTAATACTACTTATACAAAGGTGAATTTTTATTTTCCTATTTCGAATGAATCTAAATATTACATAGAATCAAGATGAGAGTAAGTACTTTTAAATTTTAATTCCTCTTATTCTGGTCAAGAAATTACACCTACAGTGCTTCTGGGTTACAGATTTAGGCCGGATTGCAAGTCATTATTACTTGAAATACGACACCATAGAAATTTTTAATGAACTGGCAAAGCCAATAATGACAGAAGCAGAGATACTCGGAATGATATCACGTTCCCAAGAATTTGAGCAGCTTAAAGTTAGTTAATTATTAATTTAATTACTGCTTCTTTACTGTATCGTTTAATGTCCATTTAATTCCGGTTTAGGTGAGAGATGAAGAAATGGATGAGTTGGATAATTTATGCCGTGATTATTGCGAAGTCGTACCACAGGGTGGTGCTGAAAACGTCCATGGGAAAGTTAATATATTGATTCAGACATATTTATCCCGAGGAAGAGTAAACTCATTCTCATTACTATCGGATCAGGCCTATATTACGCAGGTAAAATTGCTTCCATAATTTCCGTTATTCGAATAAGCTCTTCGTTTGTCTGCTGTAATAACAAATTAATGTGCATCATTAGAATGCCGTCCGTATATGCCGAGCATTATTTGAGGTGATGTTAAGGAAAAATAACGCTATTATGGCCGGGCGTTTATTAGGAATGGCTAAGATGCTAGAATTACAACAGTGGGACCACATGAGTGAAATGCGACATTTTCACTGTTTGTCACAAGAGATAATTTCGAAAATTGAAGATCGTCAATTGACGGTAAATAAATTGCGGGATATGGATGTTAAAGAGATCGGTAAGAGATAAGTTTTAATTGTTACGCGTGTAGATACGTCGTGGACACACATATTTCTTTGAAGCTAACTTGTTCCTACACAACTTTTAGGACATTTTCTGCGAGACCAGAGAGCTGCGGTTCTAGTAAAGAAATGTTGCAATGAATTTCCGACTCTCGAAATGGAATCGAATTTACAACCGATAACTCGTACAGTACTTCGAATTCGTTTGAGGATTCTTCCTCAATTTCAGTGGAACGATAAAATTCACGGAAAAAACTCGGAAGCATTCTGGATTTGGATTGAGGATCCGGATAACAATTTCATTTATCATCACGAATATTTTCTGCTCACCAAGAAAGCTGTATGCTGGACAAAATACAAACATTGTACAGTGGATTAAAAATACTTTTGATTAATTTACGTTACGATTTTGGGTTATAGGTTTGCACCAACATTGAGCAGGAACTGGTAATGACTATTCCTTTAATAGAACCTCTTCCGACACAATATCTAGTAAAAGCAACTAGTGATCACTGGTTATGTTGCGAAGAGATATTACCATTATCTTTTCACAATCTCATATTGCCAGAAACTCATCCGCCTCATACAGGTAAAGGAAGCTCTTTGAATGAAAGCAGGACATATCGTATAACAAATTAATGGTGATGAAATTTTAATACATTCAATTATTTGTAGATTTGTTGGAGCTACAGCCACTTCCAGTGACGGCGCTGAAAGATTCTCGATTTGAGATGTTATACAATTTTACACATTTTAATCCCATCCAGACGCAAATATTTCATTGCTTATATTACACAGATAACAATGTTCTTTTGGGTTCTCCAACTGGATCAGGCAAGACAATTGCTGCCGAAATTTCTATGTTTAGGGTCTTCAAGTGTTATCCTGACCAAAAGGTAAGTAGTTCAGTGAAAACAAAATTACACGTCAAAATTACTTATTTACTCAACATTAATATCTAAAACATGTATCTAATGTTATACGTATTTTAGGTGGTTTACATAGCACCTTTAAAGGCTTTGGTCAGAGAACGAGTAAACGACTGGAAAAATAGATTGGAAAGAGAATTAGGATATACAGTCGTCGAGTTAACCGGAGATGTCACTCCTGATATCAAAGCTATAGCAAATGCACGAGTGATAGTAACTACGCCTGAGAAATGGGACGGTATCAGTAGAAGCTGGCAAACTAGAAATTACGTCCAAAAAGTTGGACTGATCATAATAGATGAGATTCATCTTCTCGGAGAGGACAGGGGTCCTGTGCTCGAAGTGATCGTTTCAAGAACAAACTTTATCACGTCGCATACTTCAAGAATTCTAAGAATAGTGGGACTATCTACAGCTTTAGCCAACGCGGTAGATTTAGCTAACTGGTTGGGTATCGATAAGGTAAATATTACTGCTTATTTACATTCGATGATTTAAAATGGTACTTATAATGATTTAACGACAACAAAAATGCTTAATGTAAACTGTACTAATCCGGTAGCCCTGTCTCACTATTAAATTGATTAGACATGTACAATGCATACAATATTTGAGAAATTCTGAATTGTACGATTTCTTATATTAATTGAAATATTTATTTTTACCAGATGGGTCTGTACAACTTTCGCCCGTCAGTAAGGCCAGTTCCTTTAGAAGTTCACATAAGCGGATTTCCAGGGAAGCATTATTGTCCACGTATGGCAACAATGAATCGGCCAACATTTCAAGCAATCAGACAGCATGCTCCCTGCAGTCCTTCTTTAGTATTTGTTTCATCGCGTAGGCAAACGCGTCTAACGGCCTTGGATCTGATTGCATATCTTGCAGCGGATGACAACCCTAAACAGTGGTTGCACATGCCCGAGGAAGAAATGGATAATATTTTAGAAAATGTAAAAGACTCCAACTTGAAACTAACACTTGCATTTGGAATTGGTCTTCATCATGCTGGTTTACAAGAAATGGACAGACGAACAGTAGAGGAACTCTTTGTGAACAACAAGATTCAAGTATGGCAACTTTATCATAGAATTTAACTTCGGTGTCAAATTTATGTCATGTCGGTCCTTTAAGTCATTTTCATTTTATTATCGTAAATTAAATATTCGGGGGTGGGGATACCATTTTAAATAATTTGATTGTAATTTTAATCGCTTTCGTCTAACCTACGCAGGTTCTTATTGCAACTGCGACACTTGCTTGGGGTGTCAATTTTCCAGCCCATTTGGTGGTCGTAAAAGGAACTGAATATTACGATGGCAAAGTAAAACGTTACGTAGACATGCCAATTACGGATGTTCTACAAATGATGGGTCGAGCTGGTAGACCACAATTTGATAATTCTGGAGTCGCGGTAGTTCTTGTGCACGATATCAAGAAGAATTTTTATAAAAAATTTTTGTACGAGCCTTTTCCAGTGGAGTCAAGTTTGCTCGAAGTATTGCCTGATCACACTAACGCAGAAATCGTCGCAGGCACTATAAATAATAAACAAGAGTTCCTGGATTATCTTACATGGACGTACTTTTTCCGAAGGTTAATGAAAAATCCAAAGTACTACGGCTTGGATGAACTGGAACCTGATGAAATTAATCGATACCTTTCTAGTCTAGTTGAAAGTACTCTGAAAGTGTTGACGGATTCACATTGCATTTATTATGATGAGGTAAATACGTGAGATTTATGATACCTACGACAAGACTCATTTTTTAAACTTATTACTGAATTTTGAATACCATTATGTCTCATTTCCATACACGCGGAATCAACACGGAACGCAGAATGGCCTTGAGACGGCTTAATTAATCAGCTTATTGCTTTAGCCCTAACCAAAGAATTCAGAAGTTCTGAATTCTTTGCCCTAACATACCTACTGTGTTCCTCGCTCCGCGGTGATTCCGTGCGCTTTCCGCGTGTATGGAAATGAGACATAATATTTTTATATAATCACGTTCACGGCACATTCAAACAGGAGGAGCAAGAATTAATTCCACTACCATTAGGAAGAATCGCTTCGTTTTATTACCTTTCGTATAAGACCATGGCTGTATTCGAGGATGCATTGCAAGAGAACCTCGAGATTGAACAATGTCTCAGGTTCATGTCAAATGCCTCCGAATACAATGAGCTCCCCGTAAGACATAATGAAGATTTATTAAATGAGTAAGTCACGTTGTATTTGAAAATTCCAGTTTAAGCGTTTTTTACTATTAACAATCTTATGTTTTTACTCTTCGCAGAGAATTAGCTAAGTTGTGTAGATATCAAGTAGATCGTCACACATATGATTCTTCGAATACAAAAGCACTTTTACTTCTGCAAGCACATTTTTCAAGATTACCCCTGCCTTGTACCGATTACATTACTGATTTGAAATCGGTCCTTGATCAGTCGATCAGAATTATTCAGGTAAAGATTATAGATGTTACGCGATATGATCTTTAGATAAATAAAATATTCAATTAATGTTTCCAACATACATAAAATGGTATGTAAAACATCTGTTCCAGGCGATGATAGATATTGTTGCTGAACGTGGATTTTTAATAAGTACATTGAGACTTATACAATTGCTCCAAATGATTATACAAGCTAGATGGATCGATGAGCCAGCAGTTTTGACATTGCCATATATTGAAAAGGAACATTTATATCTATTTTCCTCATTACCTAAATGTCTTCCTCAATTGTGTGCAAAAACGTTCGACGATTACAACCGATTAGCAAATGTACTGTTAAAGAAGTTCACAGATAATCAGGTGCAACAGGTGCGATTCAATGAGGCCCAGAAAGGGCTAGGATGCATATAATAATTGTTACACATTAATCATAATTTTTGTTTCTCTAACGACGACGCATATATCAGAAATAATTTGGTAATTTTTTTTCAGATACATCGAGTAATAAAAGATATGCCTATAATTTCCATAAAATTGACATTGCGAGGTTCTTGGGCAGATGGCGATAGTGAAAAACCACTTCCACAACCAAATCAGTCATGTTCTTATGTAGATGTATATCAAGATGAAGAATATACGCTGATCATAGACATGAAGAGAATAAATCATTCTAATAATCTTAAAGCTTACTGTCCAAAATACCAAAAAGGAAAAGACGAAGGTTGGTTTTTGATCCTCGGTAATGTCAGACGAAAGGAATTATGGGCTTTGAAAAGAACAGCAGGAGTGAGAAATAGAATCGTGCAGAATCATCTACAATTCACTGCTCCATCACATTTAGGTAAAAAAATTGCAATCTGAATTTATTATATATTTCGTTGTTCACTTGAGTTTAATATTTTTTAAATATTGGTTTTTTACAAAAATACATCGTTTTCAACAATGAGAATTTACTTATTTTTCATCTGAAGCTGATGATTTATGTATTTCAAATTGACGTGTTTACTTTTAAAATTTAGGAAATAAGCGTATTGTTCTTGTTACAGAACGGATCAAACTATCGTTTTACTTGATGTCGGACTGTTACATCGGATTTGATCAGCAATATGACATATTCATAAATGTGATACCCAAACGTGATGATATGCACTAGTATTATTCTTTGATATGAAACGTTCCTTTAAGATATTTTATATATCATGTACAGGTTTCATAATGTTGTTTTTTTTTTCTTAAATAAAATTATCGTTAGAATTCTCCAACAGGAGTCATTTTTTGCTTTGTCTCATATAAACCATAAAGGTTTCTAAATAGTATGCAAAAAAACTTTTGTTATAATGAAGCATAAACTCGTGAAGAAAATTAATTTACAAAGGGGTTAAAATACTTCGCAACTAGCATTAATATTAGCAGATAATGAAAAGTATGTTGTTCGTGTAAAAATTGAATACATCAAATTTAATCTCTTAATACACAAAATAGAAAACAAAGCAAAAAAATATGTGATACACTTGTCACTTAGTTATTTATATGACGCAACTTTGGATATGAGTGATGAAATAAGTAACTATTACTGGCATGGAACCACCAATTATTATATGCATGGGTAAGTGTACAGTACTATGTTGTAGAATGATTTTTAGAAGCACCAATATCACGCGAAACAAGTACTACATTGTAACAGGTAATCTACTATACTTCGTCGCTCGTATAATTGCAATAACAGCTAACATTTGTGATTATTCATAACTATAAAAATATAAAGATCCTAAGCAATTTGCACAACAGTTCTTTTTTGCAATTTGCAAAATTCAAGTAGCCTACCTACCCATCAAATCAGTTTATTGTACGCGCACGATATTCTTAATTGATATACACTTAATCGTGTGACCTGTAAAGAAATTAAGCTGAACTCTACAATCATTAAACGTAACAATATAACCTTTTCAAATAAAATTGTATGAAGTTTCAATAAATATAAAAACATTTAGATTTAATATGCAAACATAAATTTTAAAACAATATTGATCCTGAGACATCGGTATCTAAGTGAAAATTAGTCGTACAGTTCTGCATCAATTAGTTACACCTTACTCTTAGCATATCACAATAAATCTATTGTCAAATAATTAAAGTCGAATCGACGAAGCCTTAGTAGTCGATTTATAAACAGCAAATTGGAAATTGGAAGGATGCGAGATCATTTCATTGCCTCATTTTGGGGAAAACCATAAAAACTATGAAGATACGCCCCGATATCGTAATCATAGTTATTGCAACACAGATCAATTACAGATTCCTCTTTCTAATGACACGCCACGCGCATTTCTAGTCTCTGACACCGATTGCTTTATGCCTTTTCACAGTAGCGATACTGTGCCTAGTATAAAAACATGGAAATCTGAGGTAGTTCTGCCGTTCCTTAGGGTGGTCCCACAAAGCTTATTATTGTACAATGATTATCCTTACGTAGTATTTTTAGAATAAAGAATACTTCTTTCCACCCGGCCAAGTGGAAATAATGTTCCAAGTTAAATAAATACGAAGAACAGAAAATTTGAATACAATTTCGGAAGTTACATCCAGATGTGAAATAAAATGAAATACTTGACCTGCTTGCCAGCAAGGCGACCTTTGCCACAGTTTTCGTAAATAGACTTTACAATGGCGACCTACGTATTAACATTAATTAAAACAAAAAAAGAAAACTGTTTCTTCATGTACAGCATTTGTGGAAGTACTAATTATCGTAATTAGTAAAACTAAGCATAACTGTGCAATTCTCAAGCTGAGTTGTCACAGAATATCTCAATTTCATTGACAATCGATTAACTGTGACATCGAGTCAATGCTAACTTTAAACAGACTTCACTGATACACATTTCCACAGTGAATTGAAATTAGAAAAGCATCATGCTGCACTTTTGTTACCATTTTTTTAATGATAATGTTACCAGTCTTTAACTTATATATTCTTCTTCATTTTAATTCACTTCTCGTGCAGAATGTTAAATCACATTAAAGCTATGGGACTTCATTATTCTAGCACCAAGGAAGCACTGGCATAGCTTACAGAACTGTCATTCATATTGTTACATTGACTACTCTGGGCATACTTAAGAAATTTCAAATTCATTCGCTGCCCATTTGTATTTCCTTTTAAGTTTTGAATTGCCTGTACAAAATAAAAATTGTATTTTGAATTCAATCTTTAAAAATACCTTTTTGATATTGGTAATTTAGTTACCTGTAATAAAACACCAATTGGATGTCGTCCACATATAGTATTGCCATACTTTTTCAAATATTCCGTAAAAGCTGCTGGATTTAATGTTTCGATTATGTCCATGCCCTACAATACATATATTTCATTGTTTATTTTCAAATTTCGATCTGAATGAAAATGTTTAATGTCATCACGATCATTCAAAATATTTACCATTTTATCTAAGTTTTGAATGGATCTATAAATAGGACCACACGATCGATCATAATATATGTACCGAAATCTTTGTCCCCAATGACAAAAGTCCGACGAAATAATGAATAAACTTTGTGGGTCTGCCATATATGGTGCCAACAGAGCTCCATAGCCAGCTTCTTTTTCAGGGCTTAAAGAACCCACCAAAATTGGAATTATGGTAATGGAATCTTTAAAGCTGTAACAAACCAAACAAAACAATTTACAGTACACTTCTCACAAGTGTTTTAAAAAAGAGGGAATGAAAGATTATTTCTTTCTTTTTGCCTTTATAAAATGGTTCCCTATTCTATGCACTGATGTGGCATAAACAGCGCCATTGACGAGTGATGTTTTCATTGGGTCGCGGGGTTGTTTTTTCAAAACCTGTAAACGTACTCTTCCATGACTTTGGCAATGAATGGTAAATGCATCTCAATGCTGTGCTCTTCTTCATCCGTATTCATGTCCATCAATTCAAAGTGGCCAGTTTCTTCAAGATCTCTACATACTGCCGTGAGTAAGTATATTAGACTGTATTCAACAAATATTCTTAATTACGAATATTAAAAAAAAAAATTATTATACTTATCATATTTTAATTTTTGGAAGTCATACCTTTTTGATCAATATGTAAGTCATACAATGGGGTGCGATAAACGGATGCCGAAGAAAGGGCACATCGTGCTAACCTCACATGATGAGAGGGCCCTAAAATGAATATCCTACGGCTGCGTAATAGTAGGGTTGTTTTATTTCATTCTACTGATACAATAAAACATGCAGTAAATGTAAAATTAAAAATTATATGTAAAATAAAATGATTTTACTTAAACATATGACTTTAAATTTGATGTGATACAATTACATTTGAGAATATTTACCTAGTTAAACATTTATACGTATATATGTATTATTTACAGAGTTACTAGTATTTCAATGACTTTCTTAATCATTCTTGAAATAAATTTCACTCAATAATCTAAAATAAAAAATGTAGGTACGATAACTTACACAACAGCAGGGCTAATCTGACGATACGCAAAACCAGCACATCCTCCGCAATAGCTGTATCCTGCATGACTGTAAAGATTTATAAATATTTCTTTGAAAGATTTGTGGTAGAGATCATGAACACATATTTTAAATTACTAACGGGGCAATGATTGCTCTAGCCGGTCCATGTGATAGTTCCGCTGCCTCCAACCAATCCTCCAGTTGTTTATTCAATTCCGAACCTAAAATATCAGTTACCCCATTAAATCTTATTTTATGTATGAAAACTGTATTTAATTGTATTGATGTCTTTCCGAAATAAAAATGAAAATTGCTAATCAGATATTATATTTTCAACAGGAATAACGGTTGAATTAACACAAAGTGGAGATGATTGTTATGTATTTTAAACGGGGTTAATGACCTCTGGCAAAGCACCATAAGAATGATCGGAGGTTGTGGCATGTCGTAACCTGTAACTCACCCGAGTCTGTATACCAACTACCAGCATGTGTCGCTCTCCTAGCTGTCGTCATTTTTACTTTCTTTATAAGAGCTATCTTTCTTAAGCAAAATGAAAATAAATCGCGATCGCTCTGTATGATTCTTGCAGTTGTCACCGTTGCCACGATACAGAAAATCTGTTACAGTTATACAAAGCCACTGGAATCATGAATCCGAAAATGGCCGTCGTCGGGACCAGTCACGGTTGTATATACAAGTCTGGAAACTCTGTTAAATTTTCTGTGGTTAAAGCAGCCGATTTCGTAAGCAATTTTAGTATGACTTTTAACCACTAGAGTCGTTACGATCTACCGAGCTGTTATAAACCGGAGATTAGTTTGGAGGTTACTCACGAATTTTTGGGCAGCCCTCGGTGGAGAATGCGGGCGGTTTGTGCATTAGTCACCTGATACCTTTAGTTCCTCACGTCCTCTCCTTTGTCTATGGCGCGGCCCGGCTTCCGGATTGGGCAAAGCCGTTCTTTGTTGGGTCGCCGGCTCGAACGGGCCGGCCCGGCAACAGACGCATTATCACGCATTATCATCATTGTCACGCTCATGGGTAGTTCATCGCCGCCGAGCTTGCTGAACCTGTTGGTATGTAAAAGATGTTAATTGGATCCAATAAATTTCATATCTCCGTCGCATTGATAAATACACAAATTCAATCGTCAGCGTTTCGATCGACATGTAAATTCGGATTTACTGTGTTGGACCCATTGATAAATCCCGAATGTCGAGTACGATGGAAACGTAGTCCTTGCCTCTATACGTCATGCTGGCCTTATGGAACCTTTTGCTCTATGTAATTCTCTTTGTCAATGGTTTAAGCCAGTTTAAGCGACAAATAATTTTGTGCATGGACGACGTGTATGTACGTGAATTTTGAATAAATGCAAAGTACCGGGCCAAAATTACAAAAAGGTAGTTTGTTATCATGATACTTAATTATTAATATATATTTCCAAATCATGTTTTTGGAAGTTTTTTTTCGAAATGGGTAAGATACGTAACCTATGCTTCTTTTACAGGTTAACTACTTTCAATATCATGTTAAAGTAAGTAGGATCAAACCATTTAAATATTAGTATTTCATACAGTAATGGCTCGAGGAAAAAGACCAATTCGTGGGGGAAAGCGAAAATTTGATAGACATGACGAGCGAAAACAGAAAATCAAGAAAGGAAAATTTAATTTAAGAGAAGCCTCTTATGTCAAAGAGAGGGATGCTAAAAATGAGGAAATTGAAAATCGCAGGCGTCGAATAGAAGAAGAAAAGGCTAGACAAAGAAGACTAGAATCTGAAAGCTCGGAAGAAGAGCAAGAGGATTTTACCAAAGTATTGCTAGCTACATTAGGGACTTCATATGCAAAAAAATCTGCAATTGAATCAGAGTCAGAAAGTGAGGAAGAATCTGATGATGTGCACACAGAAGAAGTGAAATTAGCCGATAATCAAAACTTGTTAAGAGAAGAAGATAATGAAGATAGTACAGAAAGCACCGAAGAGGAGATTGAAATGAGAATAAAAGATGATAACGAGGAAGATCCAGAAACTGCTAAGGAAGATGTAGGTCATGTAAAAGATCCATTTTCTTTACACCTTCGCAATGATTTAGATGAGGAGCTTTATAAAGCTGTTTCTAATAATCCACAACCTGTGGAATTGCATAAATTAAACTGGCCCAAACTTGGAAACATAACGTGTCAAATTTCTAAGGTTTTATTAAAGAATGATCAAACTGAAAAGAAAAGACCAATAATTTCAATCTTAGAAAACAAACAATTTGCAAAGCATGGTAGTATTCCACATTTGATCAGTAAAGTTGATTGGAACAAATTGTATATAAAGGCACAGATCCAAAACAATTTATCTAGAGCTAATTATAATAATATTAAAGATACTGTACACGATGATCCCACACCTATGACAGCTCTCCAGAAGGAGTTATTTTCTGTAATCAATAATTATCAAGATCTATATTATCCTGAAAGAAATTTTATAAATGAAGAACAAATTAGGTTTGTTTATTGTTTACATGTTGTCAATCACGTTTTAAAAACTAGAACCAAAATATTGCATCACAATGCAAAATTAGCAAAAACGAAAGATACAGCAGAAATTCCAGATGAGTACCGTGATCAAGGACTAGTTAGGCCAAAGGTATTAATAATAGTGCCTTTTCGAAACTCGTGTTTAAAAATAGTTGAACAATTAATTTCAATTTTAATTGGTGAGGATAAGGGAGGTTCGGTAATAAATAAAAAAAGGTTCATGGAAGACTTTGGTGGACGGGAATTGAAATTACCAAAACGAAATCCAAAGCCAGATGACTACGAGTTAACTTTTAAGGGAAATATAGATGATACCTTTAGAATTGGTATAGCGATCACTAAAAAAACATTGAAATTATATTCTGAATTTTATTCATCGGATATTATAATTTCTTCCGTTTTGGGTTTGAGAATGATAGTTGGTGCAGAAGGGGAAGCAGACAGAGATTATGATTTTTTAGCTTCTATAGAATTATTAATTATGGATCAAATGGAACTTTTTTTAATGCAAAATTGGGATCACCTAATTCATATTTTAAACCACTTACACCTTCAACCAAAAGATGCCCATGGTACCGATTTTTCTCGTGTTCGAAGTTGGTGTGTTAACGGGTGGTCAAAATACTATCGGCAGACTTTAATGTTTTCCAGTATACAGATTCCAGAAATACATGCACTTTTTAACAAAAAGTGTTTCAATTACGCGGGTAAAGTGAAAGTGGCTAATCCAATTTTTTCTGGATCCGTTTGTCAAGTTGTAGTGCAAGTACCTCAAGTCTTTCACAGATTTGAAGCAACAAGTTATACTCAAGCTATTGAAGCTAGAATGGACTTTTTCATAACAAAGATCTTGCCACAATACAAAGACAGCATTATGAATCATACGTTAATTTTCATCCCATCATATTTCGACTTTGTGAAGCTAAGAAATTATTTTAAGAAGGAGGAATTGAGTTTTGTTCAAATTTGTGAATATTCAAAAGATGCTAAAATAGCTAGAGCTAGAGACATGTTTTTCCATAGCGATGCTCATTTTCTCTTATATTCCGAGCGCTTTCACTTTTTCCGCAGAATACGTATGAAAGGTATAAGGCATCTTATCTTCTTTGCGCCACCAGTGTTTCCTCATTTTTACAGTGAAATGTGTAACCTTATGCATGAAGCGAACCAAAATCCACGAGCAGGTTCTGAAAGTAACATGTCAGTGACTGTGCTTTACTCAAAGTATGATGCTTTACAAATTGCAGCTATCGTTAATTCTGAGAGGGCTGGGAAACTATTAGGATCACATAAAAATGTTCATATGTTAATGACGGGGGAATAAATATACAACTATCATCATATGGTTCATCGAAATGTACTCTATTCGTAAATGAAACAAACTGTAAAAAAATCTTGACTTAATGTTTTGTAAATTTATATTTGTATTATTTTATTTTATTTTTGTATAATAGAATGCAATTTATTGTACAATAAATTTCAGGAAAGTCACATAGTGTAGTATTAATATGTTTTACTTTCATACAGGATTATTAACAAATGATGGTCAATGGTTAATCCAAGTAGTTCCAAACAACCGCTGTAATATTTGATTACACTCGATAGTACTCCGTAGTAATAGTGATTTCCTTATTTAAATCCTACGTTGTTCACGTAGAAAGATGAAAGGAATACGAACGCATGCATTCTAAACGAAAAGGCAAATAGTGTCTTTACGTTTTACTATTTTTTTATTTTATGTAAATTTACTTTCTCGTATTATTTATTAATCTTTGTTTACCAAGGTAATGTGAAAAACCGATATTATATTATTATCGAGTCATCCGAATATTTTTCTTCTTCACTTGCATCGGTACTGGCTTCCACTCCTGTCTGCGGACTGCCACTCACAGGTGTAGTGGAAGACGTTGACGTCAACGTCATCGTCGAGGAAGAAATTGAAGTTTCTTGCAGTTTTGTTGGCTCCGTCAGAATTTTCAAAAGATTTGACTTTTGACGTTTCTGACTCTCCAACTTATCTTCTAATAATTGTGATCCTTCAGCTTCTACATTCGACATTATCGAACTGATGTTGACGGCATTTGAATCTGCAATTAAAAATGACAGAATTTACTTAATAGAGTACTCTGACGAGTCTACATAATTATGAAACCTAAATTCATTTATGAGATCTACCAGTACGTTAACAGAATATTATCGGGTGATTTTTATTTTTATTTCCATCAGACCAAATGTCATTTAATATAATCACATGATCTTGTTAAAGAATTCAATGACGCGTTTTTTTTTTTTTTTTTTTAATAAGGATCAGAGGATAATTTTATAGCCTGCTCGACCCTTTATCCGGTGGTAACAATTTAATTCGGGAAAAACAATATTTATTTATAATACTGTAGTAAATTAGTATTTTACCATTCCATAGGGGTGGTTCAACAAGAGATGTTGGTATTGTTAAATTAATGCACAGTGCCTTAGCACTTGCATTTAATTTAGTCTGCCTTATCGTATACTGTGGGTGATCCTTGGGGTCCCATATGAAAGTGTAGTACAGGGAGAGGATAATCGCAGCCAGACTGACGGAAATAACGTAAGCAACCACCGTCAGTACTCTGACGACCTTTTGCTTGTGCTTCGGCTCGTAAAGCTTATCCTTGCTCTCTTCTCCAGCAAATTTCACCTCGTTTGAGGGCGCAGCTTTGTTCTCATGCCGATTTCCCAGGGTCCGACTGATACTGGTCATCACGTTTTGAGCACTCATCTTGCGTGGCAACTGCATCTTCGGTTTCCTTCCTTAAGAGCTTACAACTCATACTTCAAGTAAGACGAAGCTCTCTTTAAACATTCTCATATAAATCTCTGCAACGTTGCGTAAATCGTCTTCATGGATCTTCATATTCTATCGCAAACGGTTTACCCTACCGACAATTACAACGATCTTTGAAAATGATATCCTTCCTATAAAATTCTTACAGGCCTTATCTTTTAATCGTATCTTTTGAAAGGAAATGCAAACAATAGAAAAGAATTCTTTGCAATCAATTCCTGGTACAACTTTCCTTTTCGTATATACCTAGACGGTGTTTTTGTGTATTTCTTCATTTAATCATTGAATGAGAACAGGACACAGTTTGGAGAACCGCATTTTAATATTTCTAAAAAAAATATAAGATCACCTCAAATATTCTACAAGGTCTATCTTTCCTTTAATAACACAATAAAGCGCCAAGTTAGAGCTAAAACGTTTCTCTCGTAAATGCACCCGGTTCGTAAATGTCAGTACCGATCGTAAATTGGGAGATATGTGTTTAAACGTGCATTAGGAAGCTAGGTTTCTTGCAAGTTCTCGGCCGTGTTTATATCTATCGGCGCTTCCTTTGTATTTCTGGGATTACTCAGCTTCTGCAGACCTGAATTTTCCAGATGTTCCTTCGTGTCTAACAGTCTCCCTAGTAGCGCAGAATAATTTCTAAATGTTCTTTTTTTTTTTTTTTTATATAATCAATATCTCAAGCGACACATTTTTTTAAGATGTCATTTTGTGCTACTAGGGTAGATAAAAAAGCATGCGCGAACGGCGATATTAAGACACAAATATGAATATACATAGACTCTGAAAAAAAAAAAGAAAAAACGTTTCACTTTCCGGAAGGAGCTTTTTTCATACGTGGGAATTTAAACGACTGCCACGCCATCTGGAGTTTCCCTTAAGAAGCACGATTTCACCCATAAGCGAATCTCATCGAATAAGGTTGGTGAATTACGTTTTCCCACCCCGTCAGCGTATGTGACGGGACAAAACCTAAACCATCGTCCATTTTCTCAAGAAATTCTACGAATCGGGCACCCTACCTCATCGGATTTCCCGCGAATTACCGCAATCCTGGGCCCGACGTCTACCTCCGTCACGTGACTTTTCGCAAGAGGTCCTAATCGGTTGCCGTCGTACCTGCGAATCTCAACGGCGAATATATCGACGTTACTCGTTTTCCTTAGGGTCACTCGAGCTCGCCGGATAGAGGGAATTGACCGCGGCGAGGAGGAGACGGTCTCTTCAAACAAATATCGGGCTGCACTCCATCGAGGTTGCGATCAAACCTTCAGCCCGAGCGATCCATCATGGCCGCCGCGTAATCCTTCGGCCGTTCTATTCCTAGACGCGCGGTGCACCCTCCGCGCTCGGCTGGACGGCGCGAGCTTCCGCGGGGCGCATGCGCCCTGCCGAACCTCCACCGACCAGACCTTGACACTCCGGCTTTACGAATGGTTTACATCTCGATTCAGAGCGCGGCGGCGTGCTTACATACCCTTACCGGAAGTTCGCCAAGGCCACCGGAATCTCGAGTAGGATGCCTCGGGGACTACTATTTATATTGAGTATTACAGTTGTTTATCGTTGCCGGGTGATGCGCTCGCTCTCGGTACTCGCGTACTCGCAAGCTCCTGGCTGCATAGTTTAAGGTGGATTAAAGAGTAATTATATATACATAAAACGTCAAATATTTATAAAACTCTTCTCCAAACTGGATGCACCGAATCGATGGAAACTTCAGCACGTGATTATGGAGGCCCCGAGGAATAACGCGATGCGAGTGAAATTTCATTTTTGATGAGACATTTTTTCTTTACCCTAGACTAGGACCAAGATCACATTTTTTAGTGAAAAATGAAATTTCACGAGCGTCGCGTTATTCTTCAGGGCCTCTATAATTGCGGGCTAAAGGTTCAAATTATTTGGTGGACTCAGTTTGGAGAACAGTTTTATACATTATTTTGATGTTTTATATGTATGTCTAAATGTGAAAATTTTTAGGAAAGTACAGGCGATAAGAAACTCGATCCACGATTAGAAAACTTAACGGAATTGTCACGAATGAGAATGTTTATAACTTGAAAAGGGGCGATGAAGGTATATTTCATTTTTAACACGTTCACGCCGGCGCGTACCACCGGTGGCTCGCGCTTGATTGCGCCATCGGGCGGCGCGTACCACCGGTGGCTCGCGCTTGATTGTGCCATCAGGCGGCGTGTACCACCGGTGGCTCGAGCTAGACGCATCATCGGGCGGCGTGTACTACCTGTGTTTCGCATTCGATTGTGCTATTAGACACTGATAATTTAACGTACATACATAAAAACGTGTATTTTGAATAAAAATTATAATTAATAACGTATTATGAACATAAATTTTGCTTAATAACACACACATAAAAATTCAGTATTATGAATGTAACTTCAACACTCAAATCTTCCCCCGAGGAACATTTCATAACGTTGCTGTTTACGTTAACAAAATCTTCGCCTGAAGAGGAAGAAAGTATTCGTAATCTTGATGCGTTTCTCCTGCCTCTATTTACACATTCATGAGACGAATCACTTATTTCCATATCCATGTTATGGGCAAAATTAAAAAAATATTTTTAAGGGCAAAATTTAAAAAAATATTCTAACCACCTTTTAGTTATTTTTACTAACAGAAATCTGTGGTTAGGATATAAAAAACGGCACGAGTCACATAATTTGCAAAGTAAGCGCTCAATGTAATACTGAAGAAACAAGAAGCGCGTGCAAGTCTGAACACGCGAGAAATGCGCGCCGCCAGATGAAGCGCGACATAGATTTGTGTGCCGCCGTTGGGGGAAACAAATGAAAATTGGCGCCGGCGGGAACGTGTTAAAGTGACCGCAGCTCGCTCCCAATGTTTGGTAACCTATTTTAGAAGCACTCGGTATATAAAGTGAGGTCCTCCGTTCCGCACGTCCTAATCAGAGGCTAAAACGACAATCTGGGCTTAAAATGTCGTAATCGTATATACATCTACGCTTACTGCAATGCAGATTAAGAGGGAAACAATTCTCTGAAAAGGGGCCTCTTATACTCATCGGAGGTGAATTTTCCCAGATTTAGCTTAATGACAAATTTTAAACAAAATTTTCCTCTCGATCGATACATGTTTCAACGCATCTGCTTAACAGCTGGCATATCTTCTAACTTATCTGCCATATCGCGTTTCACAGCTAATCGAGAACAATGGGTCGAATATGGAGAAAATTTCCCATTGTCAACTTAGAAAGTAGGAAACTTCCGTGGACGTACAAAACGTTCGTTCAACGGGAAGAACAATGAAATTTAACAAGGTTGACTAAACTATCCTAAGTTTCCTTTCGCGTCTAAGAATGTAAAGGCACGCCTTTGTTTTAAGAACGTCGTGCGTCGATCCTGTCGCCTTTGTAAACATTACGTCTATCGATCCTTATTCCAGGATACCCTCGGTATCTTAATACAGTATTACAAAATGGCGTTCACAAAGTGCAGCCTACTACAGGAGGATAAAAAGAACGTTCTTGAGATTTTTTTTTTCCCTGTATAAATGTCGGTAAATTGACCGCGTCTGGAGGTACGTTATTCTTTAGCTTGAGTCTTCCATACGTTTACTTTTCCTCGGAGTATTTTTTTTCAGGGAGAAATTCGCTTTCTTGCTCATTAAACGTTGACAGATCGGTTCCTTATGTAGGTACCGAAGAGCATAACATATTTGCCATGCCGAGAGCCTTCCGCGCGTTTATTTTCCCTCCGATTATGAGATACGAGGTTTTGTGGCGATTTACTCGAAAATACTCGTACTCGGTTTATCTTTTAATCGAGGGTCGAGAAATTGAGCGGGTGTGAAAGTACCGGAGGACGACATGGCGTGCAAGAAGCCATGCCGGGTCGGCTTGACCCTGCTTCGCTTATTACGTGGGCTACTCGGATAATCGTTCCACCCCCGATCCAACTGCTCCCTTATTTCTAAGGCTTTAACTATTGCCCCTGCCGAGCACATATTAGTTCTTCTTATTGACCAAAGGACAATCCTATCGAGGATGTATCCCGCCGGTCGTTCTCTTCAATTTTTCAATGACATGGAGATTCTGACCCAAGGACTTGATTGGATATGATAGAACGAAAATTATGATCCCCAGGGGGACCAAAGCAGCTGTTTTCCCGTCGATATGATTAATTATAATATATTATTTATTTTTATTTTTTTTTAAATTATTTTTAATAAATTAATTATATTAATTATAATAATCCCGTAGATAAGTTTAAAGGAACATCTAAGAAATTTTATCCCAATTATCAGACTTGATATCAATTTCTTTAATGTTAATCCGATCACAGGGTTTGGTTATTTGTTTTATCTGGGAATCTGGTATTTTTATAAAGCGATTTAAAATTTTAACGAACAAAGGGCTCGGTCAATGTGTTTATGCTTTTGCTTTCACTTGTCAGTCGACGATAAAATGGAATGGTAAATTTCGGGAATTGTTCTTTGTCCGAACGAGATATGTGATGTTTTTTTGTACGTTATTGACTTCATGGAAATCCAGCATTTCTGGTGAATTATTACGGTTATTATTCCGAACGTACGTTCGTTGTTATTGGACCCCAGTCACGAATCTTAAATATCGCATATTCGTGTCGGAAATATAAATGCTTTGAATTTTTCTCACCTTCGGAAATCGTTAGTGCTTTCAGCTTTTTCAGGAATGAATCACCGGATCTCGGATGGGGTTTTGGATGACTCGTGGAAGTCGGTATTGGCAATTGAATTCCAATTTCCTCAAAATTCGATGATCGATTGAAAACGTCTTGAAGAGATTTGGGATTTTTTGGACCCCGATGAAAGCTTTTTCCATCCGATCTGGTATCGTTGATATCGGCACCCTTGCTAAAACTCTTCTCAAATTTCCCCTCGATTTCGGAGTCTGTTCTGTACAAACCCTCGTCGAGAAAGACTGCTTCAGTAATACCGTCCTTTACATCCTCCGAAATTTCCTGGGGAAATTCGGAGCTTTCCGTGTTCCCATTGACACTCCAATTACTTTCAGCTTTAGAACCATTAATATCGGTTTTTAAATCATTTCTGACAGATGCTTCCAATTTCGCCATGTCTTCCGAACTTATTTGATCCATCTCGTTATCTGCATAATTTATTTCGGTAACATTATCTTTGTCTTCCGGTGGAAGTTCAGGAAAAAATGCCCTCGTTACTTCCGTTACATTCTCAAGAAACGGAGTATCTTCGGATACGGTTTCAATCATCGATGAAACTTTATTATTTATTGAAATTAATTGATCTGTTACTGCAGGAGTCTCAGTTGTTTGGGCCGAGGTTGATATGTCATCGTGTCGAAGAATTAATTTATTACCGTCGTCTAATTGAGTAGACTTAATAAAATTGACAGTAGAATTATGTATCTCGGGGAAATGATTCGAGCGGTTTTCCTCGATTTTATTTTTTAAAGGAGCCAGGGCCGATTCTTTCGATCGTAAGGCTGAACGATTGGGATCGATCGATCTATAATCTTCAATGACCGAGTTAACGTTCAACAAATCCTGGGATAAATTTAGATTCGCGGGAATTTCCTTAATCCACGGTTGAGAATGATTTATAAAGTCATTTCTCTCGTTGCCGAGGACAACGGGAGGATGATCCACCAGGAACTGCACCTGGGGATCTTTCAGATGCTGGGCATGTAAAAGTCTGGGGTTCGGGGGTTGCCAGAGAAACAGATAATAAGCACTGAGAACAATAGCGACGAAGCTCACGGAGAACATGTACGCCAATACCGTGACGACTCGGATGAGCTTTTTATTTCCCCGTCCTTCGTAAAGACTCGAATTGGGGTCCTTCTTCTGATTTCCCCCGGCATCTTGAGGTCCCATATTACCGCTTTCGTTTTTCGACATGATTTACCGATTTCAATAACTCTCCCAAATAATTCTCGGACCTCCTAAGTTTTAAATTCGTCGATACATCCTCGATGAACTTCCGGCCATGTTTTCGGTGGCGATTTGATATTCCATTCTTCTCCCGTGATCTTCAATCTCCATCTTCGGTTTCAAGGAACATATGTAAGCTCTGTCCTCCTGCGCGGCTTTATCTCCTTAAAAAGCACGGTTCCAATAAATACAATTAATTTTGTTCTGTTTTAAATCCTTCTCCGTTCGTCGATTATTTATATTACTTTTTTTCTTACAATAAAACCGTGTCACTGGATGTATTATATAATATTCCGTGGTAAACGATGTTCACGTCGGAAAGTGGAATTAAGTTACATGGTCCCCGGAATTTTGAACTTCTGAGTCTGGCAAGATGAAAATGTTCGGCCAGCTAAAGCACGCCGAATACTGCAAGCTCTGACCACGGAAAAGCTTCCTTAACCACGTGTTCGACTTGATGCGCACGCGTTCTCTGAAAGCTCTTTAAACACCTTATGTCGCTCTGGTTCCGAGTTCTTGAGAGAACGCTATCGGAAATAAAATTCAGTTAAAAAGTAGCGCTTGTTCATGAGCACTGAATTACATAACGTTTCTATTTAATGTAATCCTGAGAAATCTAGAAAACGTTTCCTATAAATTATAATAACAATCGTTACATAGGAATTTTTATTTTATTTCGGTACCCAACAGTATCTGTAAAGATTAGAGCCAAACAAATTTAATTAACATGTAATTCAATTAGTGATAACGTAATTTTACCTCAATGCCATGGCTCATTTTTTGCGAAGGAGAATTCAATTCTGTTATGATGAATACTAATGCTGGTACTAAAAAATTGGTATCACCTTTTGGTAGAAATTTATCGTTAATAAGTACTTAATAAGAACTTACTCCGCAAACTAATACGAGCGGGTACGGGTTCGTTCCATAGAACAATTTGAAAGGACGAACCTTCCCTATCGAGCTGCAGTGATTGCGTGTGGGAAAAAAAAATTCACTGTGATTGTGACAATTTTCTTTCAGGAATGAACTTAATTAGACCGCGCTTGGGAATCCGGTTAAATGTGCAATACGCCCGGACTGCGCATCCTCGGATCGTAGGCGTCGTCGAGATGAGTTGGGAGCAGAGATGAGGATCTCTGAATTGGGCCGCCATTGGGGGGTATCAGGTGGCAAGTGCGTTACCTGTCCACATCCTCCGCCAGGGGGCAGCACAGGACGCGATCGCGCGACTCTGCCCGTGAGGAATTTCCCAACTCATCTCTGGTGTATATACAGTGGGGATGACTTCTAGATCAGCTGTCTTGTCGTGCAGTTTTCCTAACCTGTAAATTGTCAAAAGTTGATTGAACTTTGGTCTGATCAGGGTGGCTGATGTGCTGACTGGTGAATAATCGGGATTTTCCATTCTATAGTAAAATTGTGTAACCGATTTCTTCGTAAAATAATTTAACGGAATAATAATGGGCAATAGATCGAGTTTACTTCTGCGTGAGGAAGAGATTGCTCAAATTCAAGAGGCAACTGGGTGTATGTATTTGAGTTTAGTTTAATGTATTCCACGAAGTGGAAATATTATTCAAATTATTCCTGGTCTAAAACTGATTACAGTAGTTTAGTAACGATGAGCACTTTGTAATTTTCAGTTACCCCTAATCAAATAGAGCGACTTTATAGTCGATTTACTAGTCTCGACCGGGGTGACTGTGGAACGCTGAGCAGAGAAGATTTCCTTAGAATTCCAGAACTAGCAATTAATCCACTTGGCGACCGCATAGTAAATGCTTTCTTTGACGAGAGTGGGAACGATCGAGTGAATTTTTTGCAGTTTATGCAGGTTCTTGCATTATTTAGGCCAATTAAGAAGAACAGTCTTAATCGATTGAATTCTAGACAAGAAAAATTGAAATGTAAGTCACAATGTCTTATCAGTGCAAAATTAATCAATAATAGTCATCTAAAGAAATATACCATTTTGTAGTTGCTTTTAAAATGTACGATTTGGATAAGGACGACTTAATATCAAAAGATGAGCTGTTGGCTATTTTACATATGATGGTTGGAGCTAACATCAGGTATGTGTTTGTTTATTAAGTTTATTTAAAAAGGACTGGCATTAATATTTTCTAAATTACTATTGACTGAAATGTTTTAATACTTCAGTGAAGAGCAACTCATCAGCATTGTTGAAAGGACAATCATGGAGGCTGATGAAAATGGCGATGGAATGATATCATTTGAAGAATTTTGTAAGGCTTTAGAACGCACAGATGTGGAGCAGAAAATGTCAATAAGATTTCTTAGTTAAAACTATTGTTATTAGGATAAGAAGTACAAAATTGCACTATTATCTAAAGAAAGTTGATAAAACATCCTATCAACAAAGCATGTTGCTACTTGTACAGCAGGTTATCGAGGTAAACTGTAAAACATTAAAGTGTACTACATTTTATTCCATCAATAAGAAGACAATGGGGGTAGTTTAAGTGTTTGGTACATTTGTAGAGTGTAATCAGTAGGAAGAGTGCTGCTGCACTAGTTCGACAATGGAAATACTTAAATTACACTTTAAATGTAAAAACAATTGTTACCAAAAGTGATGGAATACTATTATAGTCATATTATACCTAAGAAGTTGCTAAGGTACTAAGATTTTACTTTGCACACACTTCTCATTTTTATCGATTCCGTTCATACCTCAAGATGCATCATTTATTTAATATATATTTTTTTTTGAGTATGTAATTATATATGTATATACAAATAGAGATAACTAATTTTGTGAATCCATCAAGATTTGATAGAAAAGGAAACGGATCATTTTTATAACTCTGGAGGATTTTGTCTGTTTTACATTGACCTAAAATTGTGTATTCATAGTTTAACAAAGTACGCTTTCAAATTATAATAATGAAAGTTACTTTATGGTTGACATGTAGTTATATTTTCGTTACAATAAGCATTAGGAGTGTACTTACAATAACGAAAAAAATGCACTGTGGTACGTCGCAATTGCATGATATCTTACTGCATTTTAAATATACTTTTCTTTTCCTTTATATATGCCACTATCTTTTTTGTTTATAAATTACAGTTTGTATAATATATAAAAGTCAATTAACATTATATGTATAATTATTGCTTATGACCTAAGCTGTTGACGATACAGCAAGTTTCTTCAGATGCTCCATGAATACTTGTAGACTGACATCATCGGTTAAGACAGGTGCTCCACTTTCCTAAATCATAATATAAAATAATGATAATATATATCTATTTGAAAAAAAATGTTCAAATAAAATGAATCCTCCCATTCCAAGATAAAAAGATATCCCATAATATGTATAAGCTACTCTAGTATTTCAATACATTACATAGATAAGACAAAAGCAGTAGGTCCAAAGCAAGTGTTAATAAACATATTCACAACACATTGTGTGCTAATTATTGTATTAGCCTATTTGATGAAATTGTTAATCTGTTGTCATATCAACGATCAACAAATATTAACGTCAAGTGTTCTTTTTTTATGAAAAATATAAATAAGTTGTTTATGTGAGTTGAACAGTACATCTTCAGGACCGTATTTCCAACACCAAAGCAGATGAAGCAAACTTGTCTAAGGAGTTTGTAGAACAAAAAATAAAAAAACACACCCCATTGAATAACTGCATCCCCTGGTTCACAGGATCGTGGTGACATAAAAAATTATTAGTAACATTCTTTTCCAGAATGTACATCACTGTCTCGGATGTATTGGTAAAGTAATTTAATACAAGATGTTAGGAAATAAGAAAAAGGAATATTTCACTTACCGCTCCATAGGCATACATATTGTTATGGGTCTGACTAGGATTGACCTTGCTTAACAAGAACCTAGCTTGCGAACCACCCTGTTCCGTATCGATATATCTAGGTGCTGGAAACCTGCCAGTTAATATTTCAGCAGCATCGTCAACTGGTGCTGCCAATAGTTGTCGGAAGTTTTCATATTCAGGAAGATCCTGATATTTTAACTGACGCCATTGTGCTATAGTCTGAAAATGAAATGCAACTCGATATGTTCAACAAATGGTGATCCGAAATTACTTAAGCGGTGACTGTACCTCTCCATGGAATATGAGTATTTGGAAAAATGTATCCATAAGTAAGATTCGGTCAGGCTGGATCGAAGATGTATCTAATAAAACAGGTTCCGGTGGGCCATTAAACCCATAACTGTACAGGATCGGCTGTACCATTATTAAGGAATTTGTCAAATCTTCCCGCATCAACATGTGCCTGTTCATTAAAAATGAAAATGTGTGATTTGAAAATATTACTTAAATAGTTTAGAAGTAAAGCTGTACCTATAGAAACTGGTCTCATCTGGCGAATTATTAAATACTTGAAGAAACTGTGATCTACGCAGGTGATACATAAATTGAGGGTACAAGGAAAAGTTTTCCGCAAGCCTGAAACTGTTGGGATCGTCCTTTCCGTATTCGCCAACCTTTTGACACTGCAAATAAAAGTTTTTATGATGTCATGTTACCAATTTTTGGCAATGTATCATATTTATTAATAACTTACAAGTCTAATAAGCATCCTGTCAACCCATCTGATAATATCTGGGCCATCATCTGTCTCGGCTCTAAATACTGCCAAACGAGACATAAGCACTGCTGCCGCCTCTTGATCAAATCCAGCATTAATATGATGCAAAGAGGTTGAAGCGTCAGCCCAACTAAAAGTTAAAATGTTATTAATGATTTACCATCGATGTTTAAAAGATAAAGTACATTTCATTAATGAACATACTTTCTAGCAATGGTAGTAACTCTAATTCGCCTTTGTCCACTACTATGTTGATATTGTGTAATGAATTGAATGCATCCTCTACCACCTTGAGGAATAGGCGCCGCATGTTGATTCACAACTTCGAAGAACAGTGCCGTAGTGGTCGAAGGCATCAAGGCACAGAATTTCCATTGAGATGTTCCCCCAAGACCAACTTCTTGCTCTCCGACACTGGGTCCTTTCACACCAAGTGACACACATGGTCCAATAGCACCGGAAACCTTAATTTCTCTTGACGTTTTTACTTCAAGAGTAGCATTAAATGCCATCTTTAAATCGCCTTTTGGATCCTTAGCAAATACCCGTTGGAAAGTTTGTTTAAACAGAGATGAATTGAACGAATCACCCATAACCATATGACCACCTGTAGAATTACAACATTGCCGCATTTCTAATAGACCCGTTTGATCTAGAGCACATGAGTAAATATCTATAATATGTCCATTAGCAGCAGCTCGTGCTGCTAAACTATCGTAGTGCTTAATAGCTTTTTTCATATGTTTAGCATTATCCTTGTGAATGTCATGATGCGACCTAATCGGTTGTTTGAGTTCATCGGTAACAACCTGACCAGGGCCTTGAGAACATGGACCACCAACAAACAGCATTACTCTGAATAAGATTGAATACGAAATTAGCACATTTTTACAATTTCACAAAGAAAAATTATTTTAACGTCTACCTGGCTCCTGTGTTGGCATAGCTTGCTTCTAATAAACCTGTAGCAACTGCCAAAGCAACACCCGTTGACCTAAGAGGACGCTTTCCAGGGCCAACAGGCCATGGGTCACGTTGTAGTTCTCCCAATAAATCGGTTAAACTCATATCACACTTATGCACGGGCTGTAAAAATCGATTAGCTGGTGGTAGAGGCTGACCTCCAGGGCCATGCGGTTGGTTTGGATTTTGTCCAGGAATGAGTCTTCCAATTCCTAAAACAAATATATGGTATTTACAAATTCTAAATATTATTGCAGTACAGTAAAATTGTGCAAACGCTTCTTCCGTATTGTGCATACCTAACATATCTTGTACTTGTTTCGGCTGAAGATCCTTAGTGCCTCTAAATACGTAACTTTTACTACACCCTTCACAACCTAATTCATGAACTTGTACCATCTTCCCAAAAGTGATGAGACCAATAAGTGCGTTAGGTGGAAGTAAGGATAAGGACATTTGAAGAGAGTCCTTGAGAGCGCCGAGTTCATCTTCATCTAGACATGTATCCACGACTAGCAAAAAAATCGGTGGTAAACATTGAGCTCTCTAAAACGAAAATAGTATTGAGAAATTAAGTAAATATAGGATATAAATTATGTTAATCAAAATATATTTCTTGCAGATTACCGTTATAGTATATTCAATTGTAGAAAACATAGGAATAAGTTCAGCTGGCTGATGCTGCTCTGAAATAGCTGCATACTGAGGGGGAAACTGAAAATTTACAAAACATATTAGATAATTTAGTAAAGCACTGATATCTGCTATGCTTCATACATAAATATACTTACAGGGTTCCTTTGGAAACAAAAATTACAGACCCACAGTTTGGCACGATAGTCTACTTGGCAAAGTGGATTTAATATTGCTCTACAAGTAGATCTTGTACATGGGACCGGGTCATACTGAATGGGTGGAAGATCCAGTCTTTCCTTAATGGGCTGATACAGAGTTCCCAAAGGTACGACCAATCTTGTAGCCTCGACACGTGACGAGGGCCAAACGTTCCATGTAAATCGTACACCATCGCGGTCCTCATTTTGTTGGATAAACTCTTCGTAAGTCGTCATGTTGCTACTTTATGACAAATATACACATTACAAGGAAGAAATGTCCTTTGTGTTAATATGATTACTAACTTGTATGCAGTGTACTGCTTAGGTTAGAAATACAAACATACCGAAAAGTTGTATCGTTCGATCGAAGCGAACTACCTTACTAACTGAAGGGAAAATAATATCCACAGTTCTTTAACCTTTTTCAAATCATTGTTTGATCTTGAAGTGCAATCATACTTAGCATGTTAAATGAAACAGGTGCAGCCGTCATTCGAGCCACGTCACTCGAAACGAGCAGACCAAACCATAGACTGCCACAAACTATCTAAAGAGTAGATGAAATATCGCACACGTGCAATTCTGACGATAAGGCTTTATTTCATTTAATACATTAAGGCTCGGTTCCACACCTCTAGTTAACCGAAGTTTAACTGGTTTATGTCTGGGTTCAACTTGCCGTAAACCAATTAAGCTCCGGTTAACTCAGGTTAACTTGAGTTGTGGAACCGGGATTAAGTACCCGTACCAAGTGATCGGTGTAAACTAAGTCAATCAATGCCACGATGTAAACTAAGGTCGGTCTACACACCGCCGCGGTGTGGACTGGCCATAAACTACTATCGCAAGTATATCGCGTATACTAGTATGTAGTTTGACGAACACTAGTCAGCTGAAAGCCATCCTGATTTAGTTGATTCAGTCGTGTGAAGGAGCTGAAGACATCTGGAGTTGCTCCGATCGATCTTTCGATTTGAGGTGGTTCACGTTGCGACAAACGGTGAGTGGCATGATTCTAGGTTACCCGATCCGTCAAACTGTAATCATTGAAACTACTCATAATGTCGACTCAACTGTCGTATCATATTTCACTTAATACATTTATCTATCACGAGACAAGTCCTTGACTCTGAATAGCTTCAGTAAAGACTCTTGATAACAGATTGATACCTGGCTTACGTTAAAATATCTTAATACCTTATGACAATTTCGGCTATTTAAAATTAACCAACCTATAAATGGGTATATTATATCAATTAAGTGTTAGTTTGAAATTTTGTATCGTTATTAATATCGCAGAAATGACATTAGAATTAATTTATATACCTTCAGTCCCTTATTAGTTACTTAATATTGATTTTTATATCACCTTGCATTTAGGAGATAGCTGTAAGGTGTAACATGCTAAATATTTGTATGATCTTTTAAAACAATGTTCATTCAGTTTATAAATCATTTTCCGTTAGTTGTCAGGTATGTCAAGTATTTGACTACATTCATAAATTAAATTTTGATAATTGAAATTTAGAAAAGTTACAATTAATTGGACACCGAGAAAGGGATAGTGTTCTATCTTAAATTTGAATAAAAAATTGTATAACCTGATGTTAATGTCAATCCAACTGATATTTCTAACGGTCTAAGGAATGATATATCTATAGTATACATGTAAAGATATGCGTGGTACTTATGTAAAAAAAATATGTGGAGTATGAATTTATGTACCTCTTCCTTTGGTATCAGATTTTTCTTATCGACGTTTATCCATAAATTAATAAGAGAAGTGAAATGTATGATAATATTAAAATTTTTCTGAAAATTAAAATAGTTTGTACATGAAGCTCTTGTGTCTGATCCACAGATTTACATTAAATTATTATTTCTCCATGGCTAACAATACGTCACCAGTGCAAACACCGCAAACCTTTAAGTGAGTATTTTTTGTGATGTATGCATATTTGTTTTATTTCATATTTGTACACTGTTTTTGAGTTTGATTCAAACTTCATAAGTAGTGATATAATATATGTATGATCTGCTACTACAAAAATTCTTTCAGGTTAGTACCAAAAATTATAAATGGAGGTATTGCAGGAATTATTGGAGTATCTGTGGTATTTCCACTGGATTTGGTCAAAACACGATTGCAAAATCAAGTTATCGGACCAAATGGAGAAAAGATGTATTCATCAATGTAAAGTCATTTAACATTTCTCTATACCATTTTATAGTACAATAACTTATATTTAGTAAGAAAAGTAATTAATTTATTGTTAGGTTCGATTGTTTTAAAAAGACATACAAAGCTGAAGGATACTTTGGAATGTACAAAGGGTCTGGAGTAAACATTTTGTTAATTACACCAGAGAAAGCGATTAAGTTGACTGCAAACGATATGTTTCGTCACTATCTGTCTACTGGTCCAGGGTATGAAAATAAATCACGTGTTATATAATACTTCAATAAGTATATCTTATATACTTTTTATATGATCTCAGTTTTTAAATTTGCAAATGTTTTGCAATAATATGTGTGAAAGTTGCAATAATATGCAAAGTTCAACTCCCTTCAGAAACTAGTTATTTAGTCGATATGAATAAAACATTTATGCAGGCAACCATTACCACTTGGGCGAGAAATGCTCGCGGGAGGATCAGCAGGAGCATGTCAGATAGTTATAACAACACCAATGGAATTGCTAAAAATTCAGATGCAAGATGCTGGAAGAGTAGCCGCAGCAGCTAAAGCTGGTATAGTTGATATAAAAGTTAATATAAATTTAGCACCTGCTTTCTGGGTATAAAATTCCCTGGAAGTCTGAGGTCAAAGTAAATTGATTTGTCATATTTCACAATAACTAAGCTTTGTTAATATTAATTTTTAACCATCAAGGTTTTCTTTACTTCATACTTTTTGAAAATGTTATTGACTGTTTGAAATTACAGCTGGTCAAGAAATCCCAAAAATATCGGCATGGTCACTAACGAAAGAACTCTTTAGGCAGAAAGGAATTTTTGGGCTTTACCAAGGCACTGGAGCAACTGCACTTAGAGACGTTACATTCTCTGTCATTTATTTCCCCCTTTTTGCTAGATTAAATAATTTGGGACCAAAGAGAGAAGATGGTTCTTGTAAGTATTAAGATTAAATAAGGTACCACAATTTACGTATGTACTTTATATTTTTTATACTATGAATATTTTAGCTGTGTTTTGGTGTTCATTCCTCGCTGGTTGCGCAGCTGGTTCAACGGCAGCATTGTCAGTAAATCCGTTTGATGTAGTTAAAACTAGGCTACAGGCCATTAAGAAGGCACCTGGTGAGCCAACGTACAACGGAGTATTAGATTGCATTGGGTAATGGATACTACATATATACATATATATTTACATTTACAAAATACCAGAAATTGCGAAGGTTATAGTAATAGACAATGACTGAGCATGTTAAAAAAGTCAACCATTTCATGGTTTTTTAAAGACTAAAACTACCACAACATGTGATGCCTTCTCCGTTGTAATTGTATCAAGGATACCGGAATTGTTCTATTTTTAGAAGTATATTTCAAAGTCGTTGCTTATTGAGCGGATGCATGCGGAGTACTTTTATTACTCTAAAAATGATTCACGTTTCTGTATATAATTTTATATCTTTCTTGTTTTACCAATTGTAGTAAAACTTTGAAGAACGAAGGACCTACAGCTTTCTTTAAGGGGGGAGCTTGCAGGATGATCGTTATAGCTCCATTATTTGGAATTGCCCAAACGGTCTACTACCTCGGAGTTGCAGAGTACTTACTAGGACTTAAGTAAAATCGTCCTGACTCAACGAACTTCCTACTCAGTTACATTAGAAAGCTGACAATAACTCCCTATAGTATTTTAAAGGTTCATCCAAACGTCTTAGTATCTCGGACCGTATAATCGTGAAATTACGTTTAATTATTTAATTCCACGTTGCAGCATTGTCTGTAAGTTATTTTATTTCTTTAATCATTGCGCTGAATCGGTTTCTTTTAAGTGTGCCAAATCAGTTCGCACTATAATATTTTACTTTTAGCAAAATATTCATTTAGCCGTGGAATTCTATATATCCGTACTATGGCAATGCCATCAAAATCATCAATTACTGGTTGAACCAAATGAAGTATCTTATAACATACCATAGTGTTATTTTACAGTAAATACGCATGGTCAATTATTGTATCTTTAGGAAATTTACCTAGCTAGAAAACTGGCCTTATTTAAGTCAGAAGGCAAGATGTATAAGGACTAGAAAATACGATCGTCACAGAATTGAAATAGTTGCATTTTCTTTTGTGTTCCAATTGTATTTTAAATATTATTTCTCTATTGTATTAGTAAGAGCATTTACATTGCAATTTTTTGCTGTTACGGAGAGTAGTCTTAAATGGATTTAAAGAAATATTTACCTTTATTGGATAAGTACCTTATCATTATTTTATTTTGCTAATGATCATTTTGTTTTAACAATGCTTCTTAAGTATAAAATACTTAGAAGAAAACTTCCGACCACTGGTATTGGACATTTTGACCAGTATAATTATTTCTCAGTGAAGCAGACCTATTTCGTATTACAATACAAAAAAAAATAACAATGCTTCGCTGATGTGAATGTCACGTAGTTAAATGCTGCGATTATTCATAGATTATGTAAATGTCCATCCAACATAAAACAAAGCTATATATTTACCCTGCCGCAGATGAGAGATACGTCTCAAGTTTATATTCTAATGTGTTCTATAAATCAAATAATCTACCGCGTATAAAATAGGCGGTTTAAGGTCGAAAATGGATTTGTAACTCCGAATTTGGAGTAAGGAACAGAGCCTTAGTAGTAGAGCTTTTTTGAGCTGAAACTGCGATTTTAGATAAATATTCATATGCTTACCTCTTCAGTTTAAGATATAACTCATTTGTCTGTATTATATATTTCTTGTCTGGCAATATGTTGTGCAATTCTTGGTTTATTTTAGTTGGTATGTACATACGTGTAATTATGTAAATTATCATAACACTTGCGTTTCAGAGAATTGCAACCTTGGATGAAATATCACTTATACTGCCTAAAACTTTTCTTATATGTAGCGAGTAAACAGTAGTGAACCTTTATATTCATTGTTTCACTTGTTCGTTATTTAGATATATTTTTAGTACGCAGTGCTGTGTACAATATACATAATATATTTTTAAAATGTTCATAGTCAATTTCATTCTACGTGTCCTTCCACTTTTTTTACTACACGTGGAATTGATGCGTCATTTTTTTTAAGATGATCTATATAGTCTAAAGGCGGCGTTACACATTCGGCGAGTATCGAGGAAAAATTAATCGAATGCTGAATGTATGGCGTCGTTTTCATATAAATGAATTGTAAAAGCATCTTGTAATCAGAAACACTTAGAGATAGCTTCAGAGATATTTTGTTCTTGAGCAATAATGCGAAAAGTTGTAGTCTTTTAAGTGTTAACAAATATTATTACGCATTCATTATTAACTTTATCCGTGGTAGATGGTTAAAGTGAAATTATTGACGAACAAATTATATTTTCGCATAAAGTGTAAGTAGGTGTATGTATGTAAATATATACGCGTTATTGCATTGATGTCATGGAAAAAAATGACACAGAAGTATGTGTAAAAGTTCACCGATATGAAATGAGTTTCTCATATCTAAAACAAATTGTACACACGTTAAATAAAATCTATAGATGGTCAATAATTTAAAGTGTGCATCCCTGTATAAAGAATATTTGCTAGTAATTAAATATCAGAGTATAAAAAAAAAAAAAGAAAGTGGTATCGCACTCTGTCTGATGCTGAACCGTGGAGATTGTGCCCTTGCAATATCGTTTAAAATTATCGTGTGAAATAAACGTGCCGTAGTGTTACCTTCTACGGTAGAATCAAATTGGCGAGAATTTTGAACGTTTATTTAATCGGCTATCTCAACTTTTTATTATACATCGAGTTACATACATATTTACAATAAACATTAATTATTCTGTATACGTTGAAACAGGCGCAATTATAGATATACGCGTAGACTATCTTTCATACAGTGTAACGTTTAACGTGATCTAACGAAAGAAATTAAAGCTTACGCTATTGTCTGCAAGCATTCCATACCCAAATACCAATAAGACGTAACGAATCTATTATTACGAATTTTTAACGCTTACATGTGTCAGTTGTTTTAATTGTTCATTCATCTCGTTTATTAATTATATTGACGAATAATAGAGAATGTAATTCGTTAAGTTTATAGAATGTATGCATTTGCATATCCGTTTACAGATAGCTAAACTCACAACAAAATATAAAATTCAAACACTTGTTAATGGCATTTGTTATCATACCGGTATCGTTGCCAGAGGAGAGTATGTTTAAATTTGATAAATACTTTTATGTTGAATGAAATATTGAATACCTAATAATTTATTACTTTGCACAATCCTTACGGATGTACTTCAGTTGTGAGAACTGCATAAATTATTTAGCATTTTGCATAGCAACCAGTGGCTTTAGGCTTGAAAACTTGTATTGAACAGGTATTTATTGGATACAAAACTGATTAATTTTAATCACAACCATTTTCAAAATGGTTTACCAATGCTCGTCATCTTTTTATAAATACCCAAATTGGGTGGTACAGTCAGCTTATTTGACTATCAATAAATTTCACCATTTGGCAATATTGCTACCAGAATTATGTAGGAATAAACAGTACACAAAGTTTCAGAAGAAAAAAAATAGAACATATTTTTGTAATTTATATTCAAGGAACATTCCGTTAAATACATTGCTTTTGCACATTTAACTCAAATGATATCCTTTACAAGAACGTATATACATTCACTGGCAGATCTAATTTAAATTGCACAAATATTTCTTTGAAAAACATGAACAATGTGTTGTTAAACAAAGTCTGTCATTTTACAATCTATATGAAAAATAATTTACATAGTTTCTGTAATGTATGGATTCTCTTTTTTCAATGTACGGTTCGTTTATAAATAGGAAATACGTTAATCGTATTATTGGAGGACAGCGATAATTACTATTCGTAGTATTGGTAAAGCAAACTGAAGAAAAAGTCCCATAAATAGCAATAATAATTGCCTACAAATATACATCTGTGCAATCAGTTATTGATTAAGATAGAAATGAATTATAACTTTGTGAATGCATGATTTTTTCATTCAACAAAACAGAAATGTAGTACTCTTGTGTGCTTCGTTGCCTTGTTGCAATGATTAAAGTGTATTCTGGCGGCAAATTTAGTGAACGTGTCACATCTAATTCGAATGTAATAGGCAAAGTTCAATATACTTTGTCAGTTTTGCAAAAAGGAATGTTTCTGAGAGACATAGGCGTATAAGAGCAAGACCCATTTAGTCAGTGAATTTGCGATTGGGGTTGCGCCCAAATAGAGCTGTACGAACTTCAGGTACAAGCTGTTGTGCAATCAATTCTAGTCTCGACTCCAAGGTATTGTTGATTTTAATGCGGCCTGTAAAATAGTATGCTTTACTTGATGAGATAATCATAAAACAGTTACATATAATGTAACTATTATTGTAACGACTCTATTTACGTTGATATATTATGCACATGGAACTTGAAAAATATGAGAAATTAACTACATTTAATAAATATGAGATTAAAAGAGACAAAATTAAAGAAATGCAATCATATAGAGAAAAGAACAATACACACTCATAGTTTACGACTTACCTTTAGCAGCAAGCAGTTCAATACCGCCACAACTATCAGCAGATAAGAAGTTGTCTTGGTCAATTTTGATAAGTACTTCCTTCTTAGATATTTCATTATAAGTTTGTTGGATGGATTCAAGAATTGATTCTGTGAGACCAACATCAGCTTGGCGAACACGAATTAAAACATGTGATTCCAGGAGCTAAACAATTTTAAATTATTACAATTATCTTGTCTGAAAAACTAGTTATGATGAAATTAATCAACGATAAGAAAAAACATTAAACCATAATAAACGTACTTGATACAAGCCCTGGATAATGAGTAACTTTAAAATTTGGCTATAATGTTTGGGATCACGAGTTATTTCACCTAATTTTTTTCTAGCTTCATCTAACACATTACGAACGTGATCTTCACGAACTTTAAGCACCTTCAGACGAGCTTGATTAAGCATGTTTGAAGATTGTCTGTAAGGAATAATATATTGTATGAGTACAGGGTTTATAAAAACAAAAAAAGAAAATCGCTTAAGTGACATACATTTTCTTTTGCAGTTCGACCTGCTTTTCTTTTTTTTCATAATACTCCATGATTTTTAGACGCTGTTGTTGAACAAGACGACCCTTCTCAATATTAAATTCTTCTTCAGCTTTTGCATCGATTTCTTCTGCTTTTTCATTGGCTTCTTGCTCAATAAAAGCCATCATGTGCTTGATCTGTAAAACAATTTTGATCATTAAATATTAATATTTCACATTTTAAATATAGCTTTAGCAATGATAAATTCCTTTCCTAAAACTAAATTTGGCATGATTGACATTTAAAATTAGACAGCACATTGATTCTTCAACTTATATACACAAAATGTATTGAGTTTTTCATTGAGACATTCTTATATCATTATTAATGACCTAGTTATAGTAGCTTACATTTATATATGTTATTCTATAATATTTATCAATGATCCTTATGCAATGTTACCTCAACGTCATTTTTATTATAGAAAGAATTTAATTAAATGCACCGCAAATGTGATAATTTTATTTCGAAAGCTCTTAAATAATGATAATTCAAAATGAGCCTCGCTGTGACGTGCTGAGGATAAGGATAATTGTTTTAGCCGACCATCCGTCTCACATTTGAGCAGCAATGAAAGAGTTATTTAAAAGACCTTGGATTCCTACAAAATCATTGTTATCGTATGCCAACAAGTTTGTACTATTTATAAATTTCCTCTTCACAGAGTAGTATATTGCAAGGCTGTAAATCCCAGATCGTCGTATAAAATGTCAATCTTTCAGGGGGTAAATTTAATAAGCTGAAAGATTTGCATTAATTTGGCAATATGATAGGAAAGTAGGCCGTTCCTTGCCGTATAATGTATTTATTTCAATCTCTGTCGTCTGCTAGTGAGGTTAAAATTAGGTAAAATCCAACGGTAAGCAGAGATCGTGAAATATAATCAAACGATCTCATTGATGCGACGAGAGCGGATAAGAGTTGTAAGTGATTTGGCACCCGAGAAAAAAAAGAGGTGGAGTCGTTTCTGTTAGAGTAAAAATAGTTAAGGACGACAGCGCGTATTCACACTAACCTGCTTTTGCACGTCGGCATCGCTGAGAGCCATGGTGTCGTGAGTTAATTTGACTGGATTAAAGGAGAAATATTACCAGGACAATTCAAAGGAATGTATCGACTAGCAGGCGAAATCAGAGAAACGAGTCAACGCCTATACAGCCAAGGCATTTGCTGGACTACCGAGGCTGCGGGCGACCGCCGATCATATGATCGCTGCGCGCGCACCTGCGTGTGAGAAGAATAGTCAAATGAGCAACTACTCGACTTGATGCACCCTCTCCTTAATTTGTTTTATTTTAGAATTTGCTAATACCGAAACCAATCCGTGTACAGAAGTTTGCGTTTTCGCTTTCACGCGACTGTGCGGGTCCTTATTTTCTATAAAAATAATACCGCATTTTAAATCGCGTACAAGAGGCTTCCTTTGACTTATATCGTCAAGAAAGAAATTCGCATTACCGACAGTAGGTAGTTCCGCGTCACTCTATCAGTCAAGGGCGCTCGTATTCTCGCACGTTTCTCGCGTGAATATATAGACATCGATTAATCAAATTCACGGTTACCAATTTTTTGTTCGTAAAAATGCGAAGACCGACGAGTTCTTGACGCGGCGTAAATTCTTAAATTAAACGAACCTACGAGAAGTGCGTTCCGACGGGCATTTACGACGGGTTTTATCGGATGCGCGACGGAAATTTGGTTGCTGATTTGAGGAGGTCGTCGAAATTGCTAATATGGCAGAAATTTGTGTCTGATGTTGTTAAAGTTGAGAAAGTATCATAACATGTAACGGAAGGATATTAGTAAATAGTCCAGAAGTGTTCGTCAAACAGTGATTTCAGTGGGCCAGTGCGTGTACGAATTGAAAACTCGCCAGCGAGCTACCGACTGTTTAAATTATCTTCCCGTAACACGTTCCTTTCGAGTCAACAACATCGACTTTTTAGTGTCTTTTTTTTTGACCTTCATCTACTTTGTTTATCATGAATTCAATTGAATACTCGTCGCAGTGATTTGCAGCTGGGACGAGTTAAATAGGTAATGACTTTTGAGTCTCCCTCGAGCTTACCTTACCTCCAAAATGGTCTCACTATAACCTTTGTTTCCTTATGCTTGTCACACAACTCTGGCACTTTTGATGTCAGAAACATCACTTGGAGGACTCTCGCTCATCTTTGTCGTGACCTTATTTCCCCACTGTTGATATATTTCTCTGCCCCATCTTCGCCGTACGTTTCTAATCAGGATGTGAGACTCGCTTCTATTGTACCTCTTCCGTGGAACCGAGCTCTACCTGTGGCAGATAACACATCTGGATCAAAGCTGGTAGGAGAAGTCTTCTCATATTGTGTTTCAAGGCAGTTTTGTCTTCCAGATCTATTCTGGATGTATCGTAAAGGAGTTTTTTATGGACTCGATTATCCTGCGTTCAACGACAAAGGATAGAGATGATGTACGTCGAGAATAAATTGCACTGCATCGGTTTTCATTGAAAGCGTGGTGGTTCCTGCAAATATCAGGGCATTGTATAAATATACAGCAACGATGTTTATCAAAACATTAAGGAACGATGAGCTTCAAATATGCTTATGAAGTAACGTAGAAAGAGGTTAGTCTCTCGTGTGGGTCATGGAACCCTGTTGATATTTTTCTCTGTTACTAGGCTTAGTTTATTCTGTTCGCTATGTTTAAGGTATTGAACCGTCGATAGCGGAAGACTGTGTTGCTTTCAAAATTTGTTTTTGCTTTCACAAAGAAATGGTGGTATCGGTTGATCAGGAGAAAGTAATTTAATAAGTTTATTCACATTGGATGTAGGTGTTCTTAAACCATATTCCTGTGAATTCTTGATTACAAGTTTATCCATAATAAAATGGATATCAGAGAATACAGACTCGAGGCTCTCGATTATCTTTGATGATTATTTCATATTCGTTGAATTTTCCAATTGCATGTGTTGAGTGTTAGAGGTTATGTTTCATGCCAAATCATTGAGGAAATAAGTTTATTCTTCTCTAAAATTGATCTCAAATGATTAATTTATATATGTAATATGATCTTTCAAATGTATCGATATTGAGAATTGAAGATCTTTTTGTATCGTAAAGGACTCATTCATCCCATAATTTTTTGACGAAAAACTTAATGTCATTATCCTTTTACCTATTCCATTATTACAGGCAGCTGTTACGGATCCATACCATGGATGTCATTCGAATTCGTAACTTTGATCTCGCGAGTGACTCGAGCTTTGTCACAAAACAGTGGTTGTGGTAATTAACATAAACAAAGTGTACCGGTGTGCCCCAGCAGGTACTAAACAGTGAAGCCACCAGGCTATGGCTAATTTGAACTTCGAGCAGCCACCACGCAGTATTGCAAATGCAAGCCTAACTTCGCGTGGGGGTGGTGGGGGGAGTTTAAGTTCTTCGACCCTTGCGGGTCATGTCACGCCCACCTCGGGCATGTTCTCAGGCTCGTCTGCAAGCACCTCAAGCACAGCTAATTCCACTGTCGTGGGTGCCAACGTCTATCCTGGAACAACGGCAACGGGAAGTGCACAGCCTACAGGGCATCAACCACCTCAGCAGCAGCTTTCGCCTATGGGCAATAGAGGACTCTTTGGGCAGAGAGCTTTCGCCGATAGACGTACAATGCCTGCTCTTGGGTCAGTTTTTTTTTATTACCTAGATCACATAAAGCGTACTTATTGAACTGTGAAAGCATCTATCTTATCATTAGTGACGACTACCAATGGTCAGAAGCTATTATAATTCAGTCATTTACGTGACAGAATATAATTTTTCTTTTTTCAACTTGTAAATTAATATCATTCATATAAATGCAAAATGGTGGATGCTAGAGGAACTACCTCGAATTTTTAATTAATATGAAGTACAAGCTAAGAAGATTCGTGCTAAATTTAATTAACGCTGTCGATACGTTTTTCAGGAATTCTAATCCAATGGGTAGTATGGGAAGTTTTGGAATACCTCCAAGTCGCAGCTACGGATCTCAAAGTGCGATCAACAATTTCCATTCTGTGTTCGGGGGTGGAGGTGGAGGAGACACGAGCACCCCTCCACTTCTTGATCTCTCCGAGTTCCCTTCTCTAACTAATAGAGGCCAGGGTGATTCTGTGCCGCAGCCTAGTCCTATGCCAGGAAAGCAACCTTATGGTAATTTCCATGTTATTACAATGGAAAGAGTTGATGCGTTTTCAATTTCAATTCCAAGCATGACTTAAAAATAGTAAAATTTAGTTTCACTAATAACTACTCCATTAGTTATGTCGTTTTGAGAAACGTTACATCGTTTCGTTTAATTAAAAATTCCTATTGTACATAACGACTCGTTATTGATTTTGGAATTATTATGTGGTTGCAGTTGGAATGGTAAAACAACCGACGTCCGAATCGAGCGAATTTACTATGAGTTCGGAAGATTTTCCTGCGCTACCAGGCACGCAAAGTAGAGAAGGGCCATCGCCAGGAGGTGGCACATCGGGGGAAAAGGGTATACCAGTTGGTCTTGGTCCGGAGATCGGTCAAGATGTGCTGCAAGCCAACAGAGCGACTGGCTCTGAAAAGATTCAGGCGTCTAAAAGAGGCATACAAACATCACCCGACGGTACGAGGAAGTCAATATATTTTCGCATCATTTCTAGATTACTTTCAACGAAGAAATACCTGATTCAATAATGAAATTGCTGATCTTATTTTAGGTAAAGTGACGCACATACCGGCAAGTATGGTAAAAGACCAGTTCGGAATGGTGGGCCTCTTAACATTCATCAGGGCAGCAGAGACGGATCCGAACCTTGTGTCTTTGGCACTAGGGCAGGATTTAACGGCGCTAGGGCTCAATTTGAATTCTCCCGAGAATCTTTACCAAAACTTTGGTGGACCTTGGGCAGAAACACCGTGTCGACCGCAGGACATCGACTTTCACGTACCGCCAGAGTATCTTATCAATTCTTCCATCAGGTATCGCGCCTTTGGACATCCAGATTTATATAGGATTTTATCTGCGATAAATTACATTTCCTTGGTAATTTTTATCGTGCGACCACGTTTTGACCGTTTTTATTTCTTGTAGGGATAAGTTGGCACCTGTTAAATTAAATCGGTATAAGGATGATCTCCTATTTTATATGTTTTATACAAATGTCGGAGACGTATTACAACTGGCAGCAGCGGCAGAATTGTAAGTGCGAAACTTAATTATACTTGAATGGATGTATGAAAGTAATGAAATGAGGACCATTGAAATTGTCCGTGTTGAGTGCTTGAGCTATGTATACGTATGTTTAGGATCAATTGACATTTTATTTAATATTTACAGATATAGCAGGGAATGGCGGTACCATATGGAGGAGAAAGTTTGGATAACACAGGCGCCAGGACACGTGTTGGTGGAAAAGACTTCGACGTACGAGCGTGGTACTTACTACTACTTCGATGCGCAAAACTGGAGGAAGGTAGCTAAGGAGTTCCATTTGGACTACACAAAGCTCGAGAGTAGACCGCATCTTCCTACAACTTTTCATCAATCTCAGCCTTGACTACAGGTCATTATATGCATATTTTCTCTTATATTTCGTTCGAGTTAATATAACTAAAATCCGACAATCGTATCCAAGGCACCTATGTTATACAAAACCGTTTATCACATTTCAGATCTGCCTGCAGACCTTTGTGCTGTCTGTGAGCTGGAGGTATTCAGCTATTGTATAAATGAACAAATTTAATAATCTTTAATAAAAACATAAAATTCGAAGAGTAAAGAACAAGATTCTGTGATCATACAAAATGAGCTGTTTTTCAAAACGAGACCTCTCCATTCGTCTTAGGTTTAAAATTGACTTAGGAATAAATTTAAGTGCATTTTATTGTTCTGTATATTATATATTTCCGGAATGATTCTTGCTTTTCACTTCAAGTTATTCTTCTCTAATTTTACTGCTTTAGAAGCAAGCTCTATTATATATTCCGATGCATTAATGATGTTCTTCTCGATGTAATTCCTGCTGTTTGACTCCGTTTCGTCGGGGAAGTACCTTTAATATTTATGTTAGTTTTTAATCCTCAATTCATCTCTAAATTAATTATCTTTAACAAAAGTGAGTTGCTGTACCTGTAATTAACCATTATTCCACAACTGTTTGTTACTCCTCGTGGTGATGGATCTGCCATCCAATTTATCCTCCATATAACTGCTCCATTCCGAAGATGGAAGTTTGCTATTGAGAAAATGTCATAAATTCATACATCAATCGCAGCTTCTATTAAGAAACAGCTTGAACAGAGAGTTTATTACCAACGGAATTTAGAGCATAATTCCTTCTTTTTTCTCTATACAAATATCGAGCGCATGCTCTTATTAATGGTTCTTTAAGAATTTCTGTCAACATTATGTCATTTGTCCATCGTGATGAATCGAACGTTTTCTTCAGAGATGTATAGAGATTATCGGATCGAAGGAACCTTTGGATTATATCACGTTCGTAATTATCAAATATGTTACTTGGGTCTACAAAACGAAATCAGTTACTCCAAGATGTATCATTTATATACTTATTTCTAGAGTTGTAAATCTGAAAGTGAATCTTGATCTTATATTTAATTATCTCTGTTAAGATATGGATACCTTGTTTTATTTTTTCTAGAAGCCATGTTTTAAAATTAGGTATGGGAGATAAACTGGACAGCTCATTGACCAAAGGGAATTCTTCGATAACCTTTTTAATCACTTCCTTAATCATGTAATTGCCAAGTTCAATTCCCTGCAAATAATAATTGCAGGTATTCTTGAAATTTTTTTTTTAATTCTATTTTCTTACCTGTAAACCTTTTTGCGTAGAAGCTATGGAGTAAAATATGGCTGCTTTTATCTTGTGCTTGTCTTCTTGCATGAAAGAAATAGGTTCGGTGGTATTGTTAAGAATTCGTTCTTCTGCTTCTTTAATACCTTTGACAGTACCTGGGAAATCAAATATTCTTAGGATATTGTGTGAAATCTAAACAGGAGAGAATTATAAACGCATATTTTTCAGATATTGAATAGCTAGGTGAATGAAAAAAGTATGACGTACATGGTATAGTGTCGCAAAGTGCAACATGCAATACAACTATAGGTTCTCCTGGCATCGATGGATGTGTAAATACATAACATCTTCTGAATGGTCCAACTCTTCGCTTCAGGTCTGCCCAATTTCGTATCGGATGAATTGCTTCATAATCTGATACCTCGACAGTGAGTTGTCAGAAATTGCATTTGATGTTATCATTATTGATCGTTGTTTTAATAATATATTTATATTTCTACATTACTATGTACTTTTTGCAACATATCGCAAGAACTCTGCCAGGTTATTCGTTCCAAATGGAGGAATCCTACAGAAAACCATAGCAACAAAAGATCTTGCAAGGTAGTGTTCAATTGCTGGATCGCTACGGTATTTTCCATGTCATCCAATTCTGACTTGAATTCCTGTAACATCCCTAATTAATAATTTATTTTAAAGAAATGAAATCTTTAGTGATCATTTTACCAGTAAGTCGGTCCTTAGATCAACCAAGAATTTTATCCCATACGTTAGCCGACTCGTTAAAACAAATAGCCAGTAATATGGAGCTGTAAGTGTATTTCGAAGAGTACGTTCACTGATTATTATCTGCTTTTGATCCAGTGGCTGAAATAACAAAAATTGTATTTCCATCGTTCTCTCGGGAAGTACAAAATGTCAGTTATGGTACAAACCTCGATGCAAGTAAATTGTTTCACTAGCTCGAACACAGAATTGTGATTAATAGCGTAATTCATTGCTAAAGTGCACAGAAAATCTCTTTTTCCTTCTTTTGGAAGAGCATAGTACATAGAACAAACTGACTGTACTTTTCCCTAAAACAATGACGTATATAGAAAGTTTTTAATATTTGTAACATAAAGCACTTGTGACTTTAAACGTATTAATGAATTTGGTTCAGAACAACCTCGATTATCCAGTTGCTAACATTGGTATTTTTTAAGCAGAAGATCTCCTTTAATTTTTCATTAATAGGTGTAATTGTATTGCAATAACATCTCCTTGTAATCATCTTAAAATGCTGTCTTAAAATAAGGCGTTTCATGATGGTAGTATAACTTTGTCAGTATAACAATTTCAATTCGAATAGAACTTTTAATCACTAGCAATCATTGAAAAACATCAGAAAGTGCCTGTCAGTGTTGCTGCCCACTGAACACATTTAAATGCATTTAAATATAATCATAGAGCTTATAGAATATAATAAAGCTGGAACGATAGTGTGTTCGCCGATCTTGAAGTCATCCTCACTCCTCAATGTACACTGGTGGACATAAATACTGTTCCAAGTTACTGTCGGCGCCATATTCACAGAGAAGGTATTTAATTTAAATATAAACTCTCGACGTTCTTTTCAATTTTCTTCAATACGTTAGGAAGTTTTAAATTACTGTAATATCCTTGGGTATATTACTCAAAATATGCTAAAACGTTAATAATGCACAACATACGTAATTTAACTTATCCATATCTGCACGTGGGTAGAAGGTTGATCGACGGTGTCACAGATGGCGTTGTCAACCCATTTCCATTTCCATACTATTCTAACGATAAGAAAGCTCGTAGTCACTTAGCATCAATGAAATTAGTTCTCATCAATGAAATTACTTCGTATCAATGAATCATACAGAAAATACAAATCAATTAGTCAAAATGAATACAGGAAAATTGTGGGATTCTAATATACGTCGATGTCAGGTAAAGGAATTATTTACTGCTTAAAAAAATTCATCGGTAGCATCGTAAGACTTATTCTCATTTCGATAACCCGTAGGACAGGGAAAAATAATTTTGTTCGGAACTACGTCTTATTTTCCTGCGACGCCTCTCCTTCCACCCCTCATCTGTATAACCCTAAAATACGGTCTACAATATCGTGTGGTATGTCGATCGGACCAAACGTAAACAATACACGTCAGGGCCGTGGTCTGTAGACAGGGCTCAACGTATACAACAGCACGGTATGGGGGAGAGGGTATTGTTGATTATGGTCCACAACATCCGAACTTATACGAAGTACTTATCATATTCTGGAAGGAAATGAGCGGAGGTAAGGAATAATACAAGCCGTCTCGTTCACTGGCATTTTATTCTTTACATATATATTTATTTATTTCATTATCTCTGGTTTTCAATTTGATCTGGCCACATTTGCGCAGACATCGTCAGATTATACATATATAATCGGCATGACCACGAGAAATGTCACAATAACATTATGATAAATCCTTACACCTCCACACGTTCTTTTCCGCATTATTACATCGACCACCCGTCATGGAATGTTAAGTATGTTACCGCGTTATTCATTATAGTAAAATATACACATAATTCATATTTATCGTAAAGTATATTATCATACTGATATATACATATATCAGCATCAATATATATATATTTATATGTATATATATATATATCGATTGAAGTATTAACAGTTGCAGGCTAGCCATTTAATAATTCCACGTACATCCGAGGCCCTTAACTCGACGGACCGCTCAGGAAACCGGAGGAAAAAAAAAGTCCCAAATAGAACTCTCTTTCGAAAAGGGAGGATAAGGAAAAGGACGTTTCCTCTATTTCCAGAGATCCTTGTCGGCCAACGAGAAGAGGAAACGTCTTTGGGAGTTTCCTAACGAGGATCCGTGCGAATCGAGGGTCTCCCACGTAACGAAAGTCGTTTTTACTCTTAATGTCCTGTAGCGTTCTGTGTCTACTGAAGTACGGAGTAGATTGACATGTAAACCCATTAATTATAAATTTAGTTGATTGTATTCATCGTGTGTATACACCCGTGGACGATGCCTCTAAGTAACAGGTCGGCGTGAGTCTCGAAGGGGCTTTCAGTCGCTCGGCCCTTTAATTTTACTTTAATTAATAAAACGGAAAAAAGGAACGAGCGAGGAGGCGAAAGCCCTCGAGATTCAAGTCGGATTCAGTGAGCAGTCTTAAGTAGGAGAAGAGAACCCACTCGGGTCCATTTTGAAAAATACGAGACCGTCGCTTTCGATCGCCTTCTTTCCCTCCTATGAATTATTCATAATTCGCCACCTCCTCGTAGAACGTACGTCGTGTATGTGTGTATGGGTGTGTGTATGCGCGCTTGTCTTTTTGTTTCTTTAGTAGACCTTTAACGTTTAAACATTATGCACGATTAGTCTGGCAAACGGGGATTGCAGGTGCTCTAAGTGATCGCGGTTAGAACGATCGCAGAAGACATCGATGAGGACGATTTTTCTCCCTCCTTCAGCATCCGCGATCCCTGGGACCCGATTCTCCAGTTCATTGTATTTTTTCTTTTTTTTTTTCCGCAATCGAGTAGATTCCCGTGAAAAATTTTGCATCGTTGGGGAGCCACGCCATTGGTCAATGTTTGAAAGTCGTATACGATTTTCATACGTTCTGCAGTGACGCGACTTCGGAATAATCCGAAAATTTGTATGGGAATTTTGTCGTATGTGAAAAAAAAAAATCTGTATGGACTCGAGAATTGCAGTCCTGGGATCCGATTCTTTAAACGCGGGGTAGTTGAAATTTCGCAAACTCAAGTAGATCCCACACGAAGACGAAACCAGATCATACAAAGGGGTAACTTATATGCATATCCAACGCTTACATGTAGGCTAGTACGATGCAATGAAAATATTGCTCCGAATTCCCCCCAGCGCGTCTCGTGATATCGATAAGAGCATCCGCATGGGTGGATTTTGTCATTCTTTAGTTTTATACTGGATTCGTCGTCCCGAGTCTGGTCGCAAGATCGGTTGGAAAAGTTGCCTCGATTTCGAGATCGCAATTGCACCTCAACCGCGGTCTTGCGCTTTCATATCGCGGATTCATCCTCTCGAGATTCGAATGGCCAAAGTTTGAGAAGAGTCAGCTCGAGATATTAACTACAATTGTTTCCTTGCTGAGAACAGTTATGACCGTCGCGTAGGATTGTTCTTGCAGTTTGGAGGAACTGGAAGTTACTTTTTTGTGCGCTCAGTCGATGCGGTATGGATCAGATTTGAAATTTGGTAGAATTTGCAGGTATCTTTTCATTTACGTCATGGACATGATAATGTACACGAGGGAAATATATTTGTGATCGGGTCGAGTGGAATTATAATTTGCAATATCGATGAATTCGATAAAAAAGGACGCTGAAACGACTATACGAATAGAGGTTTTTTTTAATTTTTGTTACTTTTCATGGTTTAATTTTTGTTTAGAGGATTTGGAAGAAGTAATGGTAAATTTAAGTCATTTCGGAGATAGGCACCTGTACGTTATCGAGTATTGAATTGTTTGAGAAAAAGAATTAGGTCGTTTATCCGCGGTGAGTCCGTATGCAACGAAGGAATCGAGACGAGCGTTTGAAGAAATTTTTTCACGGTTTATTTTTGGCGAATTTCATATTTTTATCGTTTGAGGGGATCACGGGTGATACCATTTCTGGAGCGGCAAAGTCCTCTCACATCCGAGATTCCCTCGGGATGCTCCATTTCCATTCGTTGGGGTCCACATGAAACCAGCCGACCTCCTTCCTTTTCCCCTTACATATGTAACGCGTCCTCTTCTCGCGATATCGTATCGTCGCCTCGATACTATGAGATCATAACATTTTTTGAATTCCTGAATCTTTACGCCTAACGTGAAAATATATACATTTCTGGGTAAATTTTTTCATCCGTATAACTTTCTTGCAAAATGAATATCGAAAGACTTAAAGGGACGTGAAAGTGGCATCCGAGGAATCAATCGTTCCTGACAACTTTTCACCGAACTAGGTGTATCGAATCATCTCAAACTTTAATATGGAGACCATAAGCAAGGTCCCGACACCCATAAAATTTGATGTTTTATAAAAAATGTCAAAAATATCTGTAAACAAATTTTAAAAAAATTGAAATTTCATGGCTGTCGGGACCTATCTTATACCCTCCAAGTTCATGTTGCAAAGTCTGAAACGATCCGGTACGTCCATTTCGGAGAAAAGTTTCATAAACTCGGAGATGTCATTTAATTGTCCCGAGGAAAAATAACGGTCCCGAAATGACAGTCCCTGTCGATATTGATAAGTCTCAGGAGAAATAAACGATAGCGTCATATAAAGAAAGCTGCGTGTCCCGGGGCACTATCACGCGAGTCAGACATCGTCCACGCGGACCCTTATCATCCGTAATACCGAGGCGACGAAATGCCACACGAAAATCCCAAGTCCGACCTTTCGAATCGCGAGAGACCCCGTGGAATTCCCGGAGGATGACCCGGGATCTCCCGAATAACTCCAGGAGCTCGTTTCGTGCATTAAAATCGGTCGCTCCCTCGAGGCAATTCCCTCGGCAGCCTTGTACGAGTCTCGTATTCCCTTGTAAAGTCAATTCTAAGCCTGGAGACTCCTCGGTATATTAATTATTAATTGATCATGCGCCAGACCCTCCGAACTTTCCTAGCTTTCCTCGCTCGCGGGACTTTCTCGCCGTAGACAAAAAGCGCGCATAAGCCCTCGCTTATGTATGCGGATCCCCCAACTACGGTGAATATAATACGTGGTTCACGTATATTGTCGCGGGTATAGTTGGAGCGTGCATGCGTACAACGTGTACACTCGGCGTCAGTCTGTATATCAGTCGAAAGGAGCGCCCAATCGATCGCAAACCGAGCGCCAGCCGGGCTCGGCTCGATCAGCTGATCCGCCGACCACGTGACAGCGGGCTTGACAGCGAGCCCGGCAGCGAGCTGGATACCCGCTATCGGTTCTCTCCGCCCCTTTCCGGCGCCATTTGCGATGGACCCGGCGGTCGGACAGCTAGTCTCTACGTCCAGCTGACTCAGGATAATCCGCATTAATGAGGGCCTTAAACGCGATCCACGTATCTCCGATTTTCCTCCGAGTTCTCCTTCTAGTGGAGGTACGTGGACGTTTTCCATTTTGGACCGAGGAATCCGATGCCGATTATTGGGTGCCGTTGGGCACACGATGCGAATGTCAATCCACATTCACCCCTCCCTCAATTTACGCGGATATTCATTTTAATTATTTTCTTTCGTTAAGGTGTTTCATGTAAATATGTATCTTTAAAACTTTTTTTTCCAATATGTTTTCCTTCGTATCGATAGACTTTATGTGGCGCGATTGTCATTCGCGTAAAACGATTGCTCGTGGAAAGGGTACTTCGCGTAAATTGAGGGACGGCTGTATGTGATAAATGATTGGGTTTTTTCTGGAAGAGATTCTTGGGAAATTTTGGTACGAGTAGTTTGGTTTTGTGAATTTTTTTCTTTTTGTTTGTAAAGTCATTTTCGGTGTTAAGGAGCGCAGGGTGAGGACGGGTATATGATCTAAGGATTTAAGGAGGAGATTGTAGTAATTAAATGTAGTCTAAGGCATTGAGGATGTACAGGAAGCGTTTTCGGGTAAAATTCCGCGAACGCATTGAATGT